CTGTTATCACCTGTGAGTTAAGCACGCACGTGCAGCCAGTTACACTGATGCTAAAAGGTAGAGGGCAACAGTATCACCAAAGCTGTCAGCACTATTTGAAGTAAAGGAATCATCACAAACGTGCAGATGAAACTGAAGATAGATCTCAGTGGCTGTTTACATACACTGACTTAGCTTGCTGAGTCTGTGTTAAAGGCAGACACTGTATGTTTGATTCAGCTAATGAAGCGTTAATGTGCCCATGACTGAGGTGCAACAAAGTGCTTTAAACTGATCCTTGGTCACAGTTTGACTTGCACAGAAATGTTGTTTTTTTAATCTGTTTTGTTCTTTTGTGTCTTATAAGCCCACTCAGACTGAACACCTCTTTAGGTGCATGACACAATGAATACAAAATAGAGAAATTAAGTTGCATGGCAGAAAATAAAGCAGACGACATCTCACGTAACACATTTGGTCATGTACCAATTTAAGAAAAATGTAATTATCGGTTAATTAGAGATGAAGTTTGATGTGTTTATTTTAAATTAGGCCTTAAATGGTGTACAGAGGTGAAAGGTGTTACTTTGGAAAGCCCAGCTTCCTCGAGATGGAGCATCCACTCCCTGCTGGCAGTGATTTTAGTATCCCGCCCTAAGATAAGAGTCTGTGCCAGTTTGCATAGCCAGAATGTGGATTTTATGTAAGATGTTAGTACGTGCCTATTCTCTCGGAGACTAGGTGGTTTCTTTATGGTTTACAAAGAAGAGATGAACGATAAACCTGAAGCTATGCTGACCTACAAATAGAGTCTGCAGTCTTTTTCTGAGTATTATTTATATACTGAAACAAGACTCTGTTAAAGTGATCAAGATGTTTATTCAAAACTCTTTAACATCAAAGTTCAGTGGTTTATTGTAATGGGACTAAAGGGGTTTTTATGAACATGATTATGTGACATAATGAAAGTAGAAATGCAGGAAGGTTTCAGGAAGCCTCTCTATAAATAAACCCCTAAAAGTCCCTGATGTCATTGTAAGGAGTCAGATTAGGATCAAATACTTTCTGTGTGCAGTGAACAGAGGTGGGGTCTGTGAGCTGTTGTTGATCCTGGCCTGATGGAAACGGACATTAAGGTTGGTTATATGATGTTTAGTGAGTCTTGGCTACAAGCATCTACACAGGCAATGATTGGGGACTTCACAGAGGCCTCAGCTGCATCGCCGCAGAAGAAATTAAATCAACTTTTAGCATTCCTGTAGACATTTCTGAAATCCACTTGACTCTTTTAAGAAAATAGAGGTCAAAGGACAGTTAGGGTTATCAGCTTCTGTGAAACAGAAAACAAAAATCACTAAATTTATTGTCAGGTTTCATCAGGCCATAGTCAGCAGTTGCATTTCAGCAAACATCCTCCTCTTTCAGTGTTCGATGCTGATGGATAGATTTGACTAGTGTGGTTAAAAAGTGCTATTTAAGCTCAAGGCCTTTGATATGTATATAATATATATATATATATATATATATATATATATATATATATATATATGTATGTATATATATATATATATATATATATTTGTGTGTGTGTGTTATATATATATATATATATATATATATATATATATATATATATATATATATATATACACATATATATATGTGTGTATGTATATACATATATATATATTTAAGTGGTTTTGAAAAGAAGACTGGTAGGTAATTGGTGATCAAATAATACAGTTTAATATAAAAAGTACACAAAGATTTGTTCAAAATCTGAGCTCTGTAAACTCCTCTACTCAGGAAAAAAAAAACAAAAAAACGTAAGTCTTAAAGAAAATGTAGACTTTTCTACTGTCTTGTAAACCATTAAAGGCAGGGATATCTGTTTTTCTTTTGTCATGAATATGAATATTAGTGGCATTTTAACCCCTCAGGACAATGGCTGTAACTTTCTTTAGAGTTATTTAAATCAGTGAGGATGGAACTACTGCAAAGCCAGGGATGTTACTGGGAATTCTCGGCTAAACCATTTGCATTTGGTAGGGGGCCAGAGCCTTGGGGATCCAGTCCTACTTTCCCCCCCGACTCTGACGCCCCTGGACAAGGCCATTGCACAAGTAAATGTTTTCTCCCACCTTTAAGGCTTAAGGATAGAGGTGGAGGAGTCATCTTGCTGATATCTATCACAAGTTTCAAAGAAAGTGATTCTGTGTGATAAGTGAGCTGTTTTCTGTCTGTGACCTTTTATGACCGGTTGATTTATCCTGGAGATCAACAGTAGGTATAAAAAACTTGTGATTTTGACCTCTGACCCCACCTTAAACGCAACCAAACAGAGGATTTCCCTGGCAAAACCTAGAGAGCATAATAACGACATTATCTTCAATCACATCAGAAAGAGCCTGACCATGAATCAACTTCAAAACAGATTTGAATACACACATTTACATTCCTAAAAATCACACATTCAGCATGGCCACACTTTCCCTACACCCACACAACCCCACTGAGAGACAGCAGTCTCTCTCTCATAAGCTCCTTCACACACACACACACACACACACACACACACACACACACACACACACACACACACACACACACACAGAGGCCCAGACTGTTTGAAGTGACAGGCCTCTCGTGCATGAGGTGTATTTATGAATGGTTACAGTGTGCCAGTACGGAAATTGTTCTCATATGAGGAAACATCTGGCCAAATTTTATCTGATGTATCTTTATTCTCATCTAAAGATGCCAACAAATAGTTACACAACTCTGCTCACAGTGCAACACCAATTGGGTCTCACATCCCAACAGCATGGATGAACACACAGCTATGTAATATGACGAGTCAGGCAGAGTCAGAGAGGTAAGTTTATAAAGAAATTACAAAATAGATTCACTGTATTTCCTTTTTCTATATACGGTCACTATGAAAGTTTTTAATTTGCTTGGATTTAAAATTTCGCTTCATTTAGAATAATCTGAAAATCTTGAATTATGATGGAAAGTGTTGTTTTGAGACAATTTCATGTTTTCTCTCTTTGATAATATGTCCATTTTATTTCTTATCTCGTTATAATAGAGTTGACCGATGGTATCAGGGGTGGTATGTGAGTGTTTTGCTGCCATATGGACTCTTTTGACCTCCTCTCTGTTGCCCCCTACAGGCAAAAAGGGAAGCCTCAAATTGCATGACAAGTGGTGAAGGAAATGAGATAATCTCTTTCACTCTCCTGCCTTTCTCTCACTGACATGCTTCTTAAATTGTTTCATGTTGTTTTTCCTGATCCTGGTTGCCCCAGCAACCACTCTACTGTGAGAGGTGACCGCACGGCAGGAGGCGGAGCAGTTAGGTGAGAAGCCTGCCATGTAAAACACACGCACTCACGTACACATATTTATATAAAGATGAGAATAAAAGAAAACTGACTGTAAAGATCAGTCTTTCAACTGATTCACACACACCCAGCTGTGACACACACATGTTCCTCACACACACACACACACACACACACACACCCAGAAGCAGAGCAGGATCTGGGGAGATCTGCTCACAGGGATCAAAGGATAGCAAAAGGCCAGACAGAGTGAACTTGCACGCAGCAGATCAAACACACCGCGTGCTATCCTTCAGCCTCTTCTTCTGCAGTGGGTGCGAGCCCAGACGTGCCCCCCTCTAAAGAGGCTGCGCTCTATAATTATCCCTACAGCTGTTTATACCCAGGCATTTGACCTTTGACCTCTGATACCTACACCTTTCATTATGAAACTTATTCACACTATGGTTCAGCAGTCAGAGCTGAGGATGATGGGTGGGAGCATGTGCGTCAAACATAAATTTGAGATGATTTACTTATTCTCAGTGACAAGCATGTTTAGGGAACCATGAATATTTATAAATTATGATTATATGAGGGTGTAATGCTGTGAGAATTTGCTACTTTGGTTGTCTCACCTGGTTAGTATTTCAACCGATACAGATGAAGAAAGTCTGTTGGGGGATTATCTGTAAATTAGCGCCCTCTGCTGCTCAAGAAACTTCACTCCAAGTAGGTGAAGTGCAGATTTTAAAAAAAAAATCTACAAAAGCAGCTTCACAAAAGTCTGCTTTTGAACAGGGTTGTCTCTTATAATTTTGAACCCCATGGAAATATATTATCTTGTGCCCCAACTGACCCAAGCCAACGCTGCACAATTAAAACCACGTCTCTCCTTCTCAAGCAACTTTAAAATAGCTTAGAATAGCTGTAACTGTGTTATACCGTCTTTAAAATCAGCAATAACTGATCTCAAAAGGAAAAGGAATATTCTGGTGCCATCCAAGCATGTCTGATCTTTCTGCATCCCTAAGTATCAATTATGTCTGTATGTTCGTAAGTAAGCTTCTCTGATCATAGACCTGGTGCTCTGGCAAATACTCCACTAAATGGCCTTCACTCTCTCCACCTTCTTCTACTCTACCTTCATAACCCTCATTATTCTGTATGAGATTTTCATTTTCCTAACAATTTGCTCTCTTCATCCTCTCTCTCTGCTCTGAGGGCTGAACTTCTACAAGCATGAAGCCAAAAGCTCTAGATGCCTCACTACTTTTAACCTCCAATAATAGTGAATAATTTCATGTCGTAAAATAGCGATGGTGTAGATTTTGGCTGAGGACTGCTCAAAAAGTAAAAGTATTTCATAATACTCGTGTATTTCTCCGTAACCCCATGAGCCTAAATACTATATTTACATCACTGACTATTTACTGAAAATTTTGTTTGAGATAGACATAAAGTTGAGGGGAAAAAAACACATTGCAAAAGACTATAATTATGAACTTCAGCATCGGATTGCTAAAAAAAAAAAAAACAGTCTCAGTATTTCATGGACCTTTTGGAAGGAGTATATAATGTCCTGAGTCAAAACAAAATCTTGACTACTTATTAAATATTTTTATTTTTAAGGACTTTAAAGTTTAAGGAACAAAAAGATTTGCAAGTTTCTTCTTGTGAATCAATTGAATCATCTTAATTTCTTACCAAAAGTTTTTATTTTCTGGATGTAATATTTGAACACGACAGTATGACATATTAGCAGATATAGGAAAAGTTGTTTTGGGCCAGAAATAAAGGATCTTAAGGCTGTTGTAATTACACAGTTTTGCCCCTCTACAGGGTTTACTTGAACCTGGTTGACACGCTCAGTTTAAATAACCTAAAAGCTTGAAACAGGAAAACAAAACAGCTAGACTACTCTGCCTAAAGATAACCAAACATCTTACCAGCTCCTAAAAAGTTTTCTTAAATAACAACAAAATATAATATGCTTATAAGCAGTCCAACTATCTCAAACAGTCATCCAATAACAGGATTAAAACCAGCAAATGCAGACTAAAGCACAAACATGCAAATTAACACCATTGCACTGATTTGTTATCCTGTCAACCTGATCTCTGTGCCAAAAAAAATCTATCCAAGGAAAGGAGACAGGCACTTTTCACAATGGGGATGTTTTGTTTTTATATCATGTCTATCTTATTTGGAGAGCTTACAACTTAGGATTCATGATTAATGGCTGACCAATTACCAGCAAATCATGGAAAATAGAGGAGGACTTTTTTTTACTTTTCTACGATTGGAAATGTTCATTTTAATATCAATTCAACCAACAAGTGGGATGATAAGAAAATTGATACCATGCAACCCAAAGTAAAATCTGTGTGATTATTTTTATGTCACTCTAAATTGCTAATATGATTTATAAATGAATGCTTTGCATGAATACCTATACAGCGGGTAGACAGCCAATTAGCCTTCAGAAAAAGAAAGAAATGAGAAAAGACCCTGAAGTAATCCTGGATCCTGAGGTCTACACTGGGGAATTAGGTTTCTGGTATATTAAAGCTCTGCATTTTTTCTTTTATCTGTTTTTGACAACACTCGGGTGTCATTTATAATGTGTCATGTTGGCAAACATAATAATATCTGTTTATTTGAAATGCAAAAATATAACCTAAATCAAACCCATCTTTGCCTATGATTGGATGAACAAAATTTGCTGCTTTTATGCTCTTAAACTTGAGTTATTTTATTGTACAACTTCACAAGGACATCAGACATGAGTGTTTTTGTGCAACAGTATCGGATTGGTAACATTCATGAATCTCATGAGTTAGTGTCTGAAGACTCCTCAGAGCAGAGGAGAGCTGGAGAGCTCAGATTGGAGGTCTGGCTCCTGCAGACAGGTGCAGAGAGCTCACAGTGTGGGCCCCGGCTCTTTGTACCGACGCCCTGCAGGCAAACTGTCAGCGGCAGCAGAGCTTCCACGGACAGACTCGGGAACAGGAAGAGATGTAGACGATAAAGTTCATCGTTTGAAGTGGTTCAGCTCAGAGGCGCAGCTTAGACATAAAGGCACATGGTGCATCTCTCCAGCTCCATGCCGTGCACACACATCCCTCACACACTCCACGGCTTGTGAAAGGGAGCCAGATAGTGCTCACAGTGGTTAGGAGAGTCTGTGGTCCAATTTCCTTGATCATAATCCTTGTATCTCTCTGTTTCACTGTCTGTGGCAGCGTGGAGAGTGTGTTCGAGGCCACATTCACAGCTCACCACACACGCAAACAAAATATTATTTACATGTTGTTTTCTGTGTGTGTGTGGGAGGTCATAGGTCAGGTATTGAGCATTAGCTCTCCTTGTCCAGAGCCCCACTCTACGAAATCCACCTCCCCACTGGATTGAGGAGGACTGTCCAGAGAGATGCCTCGCCGCTCCCCGAACACCTTCTCCTGTAGTTCAATGATGTCATTGCGAATGTCGGCCATCATTAGCAACAGGAAGTCGAAGGAGCCGGGTGGTCCCTGTAGACAGAGGACAACATGAGGGATTGATCAAGATGACCTGCATGCCATTTTTAATTTCTCAGTCTGAAATTATAGACCAGTTTTCTAATTCTATAAGTCTTTAGCTCTGTCTAAATGGTTCCTAAGTCTCTGAGTGTCGGCCATGTTAACAGGAGTTTGAATTCTCCAAATGAGGCAAATCGCTTCACTGCTTCCTTTATTACCTCCTTTAGCATAGGATACACTGGATCACCCTTTGTGAAAGGAAGGAAGGAGAAATGACCCATAACTCTTTGCAACACCCACATTAAAAGTTACGCCCCTCTCAACATGTTTGATGACAAACGATCAGCATGAGAGCAGCTGATCTGAAACCATCTCACTGGATCAAATAACTATTTTTGTCAACCAAACTGATGACTGATGTGGATGAATATGTGAGAAAAGAAAGTGAGCTAAGCAACATTGTCAACCTGACAAGGTTTTCAAATTACATGCATTTTCAGAGTATGTTTGCAGATTTACCCAATACTTTTACATTTGTTAAGTTATCAAAAATATTATATATAAAATATAAACTCACAGGTGGACCTCTTGGACCAGGAGCTCCTCTGTCACCCTGCAGATGAAAAACAGCACAAATGAACCCAAATGCACCTTTTAGACCCTGTTCACACAGTGACAGGGGTCTGAAGGCAAAGTATAAGCTATGGTGGCATCAGGATGTCGACAATCATTCATGCACATAAACACACGCACACAAAAACACATGAAGATAAGTGTGGTAGTGACCTTCTGTCCATCTCTGCCCGTTGCTCCAGGAGGTCCCTGTATGAACCATGAAATACAAGTATGAAAGAAATTGCAAAGCTTAAAATATGAAAGAATTCAAGTTAATATATAGTTTTTGTTTAGGTTAAAAACATTTCTAATGTCTTTAAATGTACAATCTGTAAAGCAGAGACTAAAAAAAAATGTTTCCAGGATGTAAATCTTGAAAAACTTATTGTGAAGTTTGACAGATTTTGTCACAGGTGGGATAACTCCACAAAATATCACCTGACTTTGCTGTTTTTAAGTAGGACTGAGATCCCCCTCCATCTCTTTAACTGTAACTGAGGGTTATGACCTTTCACTTTAAGTTTTGAAGTAGAGACCCATGAGGGCATCAAGCTGTAAATTATAATGAAGGCAAGCTAGATGTGATGTCTCCTACATGCTGTGATAGCTTTGGTCTTACCACTGGACCCCTGCGCCCTCTTTTGATATGCTTCAGGTCTGGCTCTGGACCCACGGGTCCCATGTCTCCCCGTGGTCCTCTGGGACCAGGTGGGCCCCTCATCCCTGGGTCCCCTCTCTTTCCTGGCTCACCTGGGTGTCCTAATAGGGATGGATGGATACAGGGAAAACTTTGAACCAGATAATACAGAAATATTTCTGCTATACTTCTTGAGCTGGTCTTTAGGAACCCTGATTACCTCAAGGCTTTGGTCTAATAAGTGTCAAAATTTAAGCTTAAAAGGAAAATTTACAGATTTTCAACTTAAGCTATTCATGTTCAGGTTTGAAGATATTTGCTTTCTTTAAACCCTGATGTTTTCTGTCTTTTTGAAGCACAGCTATGACCAGCAGTAAAATCTGTTGCTCTCTGGGGATCAGTGCTGTGATTCGAGCACCCTGAAAGGCTATTTTAGTTTAGATAACAAGTCTACTCCATTTCTCACATTGCAAACTAGCTAAAGCAAAAATACCATGCATGGATAAAGTCTTCCCAAACTATCAGAGCAGTCTCTTCACTCTCTCCCTTTACTGTCATGCTGCAGTAATGTCATTACCTGGGACCCCTGGAGCACCTGGAGGACCTGGCACACCAGGTGGACAGTGGCTATCAGGACTTTTTCCTTGGCGCCCAGGAGAGGGTTTGTCACTGCTGTTGGCCAGGCCAGGTACCTACACATACAAAGAAGGAAGATGATGTAGGACAAATGTGTTTTTTTATGCTTCATTTGTGAGGCGGAGAAACAAATAGAAATAAATAGAAAAACTGGGAGCAGCTGTCTAATACAAGTATCAGTGTTTATAACAGATGCTAATTTGCAGCCCCAGTTGACAGAAGGATAAAACATAAAATGGTGGGTTTAAAGGAAAATGAAAACTCGATACAACTCAAAAGAATAAAACCATTCAGCAGATACACAGCTAGAGAAAATTTGCAATAATTTTCAAGGTATCAGGTATTGAGTCCAGTACTTTGCTTCAGAAAAAGCTGAAAAAAGAGCACCTTTTTTCTCTTAGAAAATAATATTCACCAAGTTCTAGTAAATGCCATTTTTAGGTTACCTGGTTGGGTGACTGCGTGTTGCCCAGCCGCAGTTTGAGCTGCAGTAGACTGTTTTTCATGTTCATAAAATCCTGACAGGTGAACGAGCAGGTACCAGAGCTCATCAAAGTGTCTGACTTCCCAGATGAACTCACTGCAAGACAAAACCTTCATGATGCTCAGGTATGGAAATATTTAACTGATGTAAAATGGATGAAAACATCGCTTTATTGGAGCATAAAGAAACTCACAGTTGTGCACAGGGATGCAGGTACGTTGGTCCGATGCGAGAATGTAACCACTGTGACAGCGGCACAGGAAACTGCCTGCTGTATTTACACACTCATGGTCACACGTGTTGCTGTCTGGGTGCTCACACTCATCTATGTCTGCATGTGTTTGTGAAAGAGAGGAAAAAGGGAAACAGTTTTATTGTGATTTTCATTGTGTGAAAGCTGTCCAGCCTTCACAGACTGTGCTCAAGAATAATGAACTATAAAACCGTTTTCACCTCATTCAAAATAAAAAATAAAAAAATCTGCCAAATTGCTTTTTCAAGAGATAGAAACTGTTGCTACATAAATCAGGAAGAGGGCGCTGTTTTTCCACTCAAGAAAATAAGCATAAACATGTTAGAGCTGTTTAAATGCCATGATGATTTAATTTTAACATGCACATGGGTCACTGCTACAAAAAAAGGACTGTGGTAGGATCAAATCTTAACCTACAGAAAAAGATGTGAAAATGTGGAGTATTGTAACTGTGGAAGGAGAGGGGAGTGAACTGACCCAGACAGTATGGAGATTTGTGGGTACGGTGTCTCTCCCGGTCAAAGCGATAGCCGGGGTAACACGTGCAGACGACCCGTCCAAAGTTATCAGTGCACTGCTGCTCACAGGGAGACGCCTCACAAACATCCACGCCTACAGAAAGAGCATCAAAAATGAGAAGAATGTTAGAGGAGTTCAAGATGACTCCAAGTGTTCCTGTTATCCACCAGGGTCCTGATACCACATTTTTTACCTATGAGAGTTTCACATCTGCAACCGAAAAATGTGACTAGTGCAATACTGCAATAATCCCCACAAGTTTTGGACACTTTGTGTTTGTTTATCTCTTTCAGTGTGTGAATCTTTTTTGTAGCTTTCTTGGCCAGGATTCCTTTATGAAAAGATTTAGCATCTTAGCAGAAATAATCATGGTAAATAGTAGTTTCAGTAAATAAAACTGACAGTGATATTCAGTCTTAAACAGCTGTTATTTTAAAGAAAAACAGTGCCCTCTAGTGGCTACAGTGAAACACTGTTTCTATACAGATGAAGCAAACTCCCAACTAAACCTGTTTGTCAAAACTTTCCCCCAGTGTTTATGATTATGATTATGTAAGTATAATTTTCACAATTATCAGATATTTTTATACTCATGACGACAAAAACAAAAATTGGTTGCTGTCTTTGCCAGAACTGTGGGTGGTGTCCCTCTGGTTGGTATGTTGTTTGTCCCAGTCTGCTGCAATGTGTTAGTTTCATTTAAGAAAAAATAAAATGAAAATAAAAAAACCTCTTAATCATAATGAAATCCAAACTGATCACAGTCCATAAACATCAAATTTTGCAATCAGATGAATGTGATTTCTGGACTTTTTTTTTTTTTTTTTGCAGCCTGTTTGAATCTAAAACCTGCTTTGGAGAGGAAACAGTGTCAGCATGTGAATCAGATTACAGGGTTCAGACAAGGAGGATAGTTTAAATGGTTTACCTACTTTCAGGTATGCACTGGCCCATCACAAACCTGAACCCGTCACAGCATTTCCTCCTGGAAAAAAACAAAACAAAACAAAGGGTTTTATTTGTCAGCATACACAGTGAAATAAGGAGAGCTAATTAACTTTCTCGTCAAACATGATTTCAGAAGGTTGATAACACACTCTTTGGAGACTGAGTCATGATTGTCAAAGAGGCCTCACCCAGGATTAAGAGAGAAACATTTCAGACCCTGAACTGTTTCGGACTTCAATCTGAAATGATCTACAGGTAAACAAGTTCATAATGCTGTCGCACATCCACACTGTAAATGGAGAGGAAACATTGGGGATCACACCCTAAACATTTTTTGTAAAGTATCCCCTCAAGCGATCAGAGAAGTGTCTGAAAGAGTCAAAGATCTGAGATTACACTTCAAGGTTTTCAGGTAATCACACATGATGAGAAAAACATACAATTCTGATGGTATTATGCATTCATCTGCAAGAAGGACATTTAGTCTAACTTGGTCATTCAACAGCCGCACAATTGTATAGCACAGGGAAATTTACACATCAGACATAGCAATTCTTATTTTTTGAAGTTATAAATTTGGCCTTTTTTGCTCTTATTGGAAAGGACAGCTCTCATAATTTTCAACTCCTACAAATTTGAACGCATTTGAAGCAAGAAGTGTGTTGGATTCACATCATTTATAGTCGCTTGAATTTGTGCAAATAGTTTGCCAATTCATGCTCATCACGTCATCTGATTTGATTTGCATGAACACAAATATGAATGCAGGGGGCACCCAGAGTTGAACTGGGGACCTCTTGATCTGCAGTCAAATGCTCTACCACTGAGCTATACCCCCACACATTACACATGGTAGTTAGTGTTTACATCAAACATGGCAGAGGTTGATCTGTTGATTTTTAACAACTGTCTCCTGTCTGAGAGCTGCAGACAAGTTTTATCCTCCAGCTGGTCCAATTCTGTCTCGATCAGTTAATACTCTATTTTCCTCATGAGTGAATCTCTGCCGTTTTGTTGTTGACATGTGTCATCAGGGTATCTCCATTCTGATTGGTAATCACGACAGGAACATTCACTAGAGTTGACATATTCTCAACATAAATAGGCATTTAAAGAGAGTAGTGTTGGACACAATGTGAATTTGCATCATCCATATTGCACACGATTTATACAATTGTCATCATTCTTGCCACCCCAGTTGTACACATGTTTTACTCTTGCCATTGACTTTCCATGTTATTCACTTGAGCAAATACAAGGGTCAGGGGTCTTTGATTTGCATGACCGCAAACTAATGCTCAACATAAGTGAAGGGGGCACCCAGATTTGAACTGGGGACCTCTTGATCTGCAGTCAAATGCTCTACCGCTGAGCTATACCCCCACACTGATCAAGTATACAAATTAGTAAGCACACTCAACAGATAATGAGAGTGGTGGTGGTGGTGGTGGTGGGGGGGGTCTACTGATTGGCTTTCAGCCTTTAATCTTAGGATTCTGAGACCTGCTTACTCTGAATTTTGACTTACATCTCAGATTTCTGGGGAATATTTATTTAAATCCAGAAATCTAAAATTTAGATCTAATAATTCTGACTTTATTCAAAATTAAGTAAAAATCTCAGGCAGAGTCTTATATTCCAATTAAAATTATGAAACCTGATTTAAAATTCTGAGGAAAAGTCAGAATTTTTATAAATTAAGATTCAGAGATTAAAGTCAGAAATCTGAGATCAAGACAGTATTCTGACCTTTACTTAAAATTCTTTCCTTAATCTTATAACTCAGACAAAAATGACCCACACTTAATTTTTCGGTTGTCCTCAACATAGTGTGATTGATAACAGAGAGAAACAAACATTCATAATCAGCTGTTTCAAACTGAGCTTGAAGAAAAGGAGCAACAACACTAACAACACAATTATATTGACTCTGACTGTGTTAGAACAACATCATTTTAGCAGGATACAAAACTGACTCTAAAGTTTAATTGGGTCTGATTCAGTTAGTCAGTCGACAGTCATTTCCACTCCAGTATTTTCCAATGAACCTCTTCTCTTTTCTGATGTAACAGTTAGTGTGTAGTGTAGTGTTTTTGCAACACAGTATTGTGCAATGATTATTGGGAAATGTCTCCAAAATAGGATTTACAGCATTTGGCAGTGACACTTGTCCAGGCATCCTGCAGTAATCCAGCACATGTTACACACATTACAGTTGGAAAAACAGAGAGGAAACGTCTCAGAAAGAGAAGCTCAGCCACGTGACACACATCACACACACACACACACACACACACACACATACACACAATCACACACTCCACAAGGAAGACAACCCTCCTGATCCACAAACTTCATAGTGTCACTTCGCTTCCCTCTCAATGCAACAAGTTGCTGTTATTCTCCTCCAGCCTCCATGCAGTGTAACCCTAAATCACTCTGAGATGCCCCCTCCTCCTCCTGAATAAAAAATAACCTATAAAAGAGCGAAGCCGGCCTGAACTGATGAGATCCAGATGAGAGCAGCTTTAATCTGCGGCCCGTTGCTGAGGGTGTTGAGAGGGATGGATGAGGCCGAGCACGGAGCCGAGGTGGAGACAGGAGTGTGGAAGCTGAGACGAACATTGTCACTTATTCAGTCGGTCAGTCAATCCATCAATCAGTCATCTACAGTGGACTGATGCTCTGCAGATGTAAGACCGTCAGCAAGGGGAAGACCACACGTTTGAGCCTTTGCATGAGAGCCTCTAAAGAGTATTTTACTGAGAGATTCTTATGGACCTGATTCTGATCTGACAGACACTATTTCACAAAAATCTCAGACTGTGGAGCTCTTGATTGATAACTAAACCTTAACATCTGCTCAAAAACAGACTTTATGTTGACTGACCTGAAATTAGAGGAAAGCCTTCATGTAAAGACCGATTTTTTGATTTTACGATTATATGATTTTATAATTTCATGATTTCGTCAGGGTCAGGCAGTACTTAGATGTGTCTTTCAGCTAGCCCGGGATTTCATCTAGCAGCTCAGTGAAGCAGCACAAAGGGGCATCATCTCTAACAGGACTCCGAAATGAAAGGGTTCCTTGCATTGTGATAATCTATGCCCTTTGTGAATTGACATCTGTGTGTTTTAGTTTCACCCCCCTTTGTCTCTTCCCAGTTAAGAACTATGCAGACTATGTTGTTAAGTTTAAATCAACACTCTGTCAGCGCTCATTGCACACCATGTGGACTAATTCCTAGAAAGAGGTGCCCTGAATCCCTCAGAGGAACCGAACCTCACAAGACAGTGGATGGGATGCTGGTTGTCAAAGCTGGTTTTTAATTTCTGAACAGGCAGCATGATCAATACAATGTACAATTAAGGAGCTAGTTTTGAGAAGAGTTTTTACATTGTATGATAGGTAGAAGACCAAGTTAGTCCTGTGCAAATAAAGCACATGAAAACACTAACATAGAGAGGCCTCAAGATGCCGAAGCCTGACCAGCTGCTCCATCATGTGTCATCCTACGATTGGAGTTAGCGGTTGCTTTTGTCCAAAGTGAAGTATGTCTTCAAGTTGGAGCAACAGGGGGGAACAACATGACCATGTGCTGAAAATAAAGGTTGAAAAGGACTCTGCAGAGTCAACGCACAGGGTTTTAAGAAGCAGTATTTTCATTTTGATTTACCATTGGGGTTATCAACATTAATACATCACAAATATGTCAATAATTATCAACATCCTCATCATAAACATCGCCATTATCACTGTCTTCAGCATATAAGTGTCATGGAGTACAGCAGTGTTCATAAAACAGCTGAGAGCGTTTTCTTAAAGGTAAAAACAGTTTTAAATTTGATGCAAGAGTAACATGTGTTGTTTTGGTTTGACAGGTTGTTGGGTTCAGGATCATCTACAGGGATTTGCGTGCATGCATGGAGGCCTGCCAGTAGGGGGCTGTAGTAATCAAACTGTGTAATAATACAGGAGCCTGTGCAAAGGGTTCTTTTGTACAACTGTTAAGTCTATAATATTTCAGTAATATCTCAGAAGGTTTCAAATATGCTTAACTCTGTCACTTAACCGTATTCTATCTGCATATGATTATATTATTCTGGTCTGCAGAGGACGCTCTATGCATGAGACATCAGTAGTAAACACCAGTAGCACATGTCTTTAGTATGTAGTGTGTGTGAGTTCAAGTATGCACTGAAGAGAGGGCCCTGCTGATCTGAAGTGTTATCTGTTTTGAGCAGATTTCTCAACAAATGACGTATGTTGCACCAGAGAGTGAGTTTTGCATCATTCTTGGACCTGTTACACTCACACTGTTAGAAACTTTCCCAATAGTCTAAACATAGAACAAAAACATAATGAGGGCCAATAGATCTCACTAGAACGCACAGCACTTATAAATCCACATCTATAAACACCTACAGATCTCTGTCAGTCAGAAATGCAGCAGCTCTCCCCTGGGTGCTCGTGATGGACAGAAGAGGGAGGCGGGGGGTGTCTGGATGAGCAGATGGGGGTGGAGGGAGAGGTGACCCGTATGTTTTTGTTTTGGGATGTGAAAGTATTTTAGAAACGGGCAGCAAGCCTCGGTCAGCATGACACAGCCTCTAAAACACACACACCATCACACACAGAAGAATCTCATTCGTGTGTGTGTGTGTGTGTGTGTGTGTGTGTGTGTGTGTGTGTGTGTGTGTGTGTGTGTGTGTGTGTGTTTGAAAGTTAATTCACCGATTAGAATAAAAGCTGATGTAGTTTTAGAAAAAATGAGGAACAGTTGTTTTACTCATCCATCTGAACTCAAAGAGTGTGTGTGTGTTCGCGTCCATGGGAACACATTTGTGTATGTATATGTGTGTGTGTGTGTGTGTGTGAGTCTGTGTGAGGGCTAGGATACCATCCAGTAATTGGGTACAGCCCTTTAATGTCAGTCAGGGTTTATTAGCCAAAGCGATCCATGATGCTAGCAAGCTCCCTTTCCTCCTCTCTCCTTTTTCATGTCCTCTGTGTGCACTTTCCTCCACTGGATCTGCATCCAGCCTGTGATTTGAAACATGTCGATATATTGGAGCCAGTCTGTGGGCCTCTCCTTTGCCTTACTAGATGTTGACATAATCTCCGTCTCTGTCTCTCTTCTCTTTGGGCTGACATGTTGTTGGCCTGCTGCTGCCCTCTGTACATGAAACCTGATGAGGTGTCTGCCTTTTCCATCTTCCTTTCATACACAGGAATATGTTTCTGACCCTTCAAGATGTGCCAAGGCCAGAGGGATTATTTTAAAGCCTATAACAGCCACACTTAAACTCCAGCATTAAATAAGAAGACATGGCTGTGAGTTTTTCTACAATTGCTTCCACACATTTTCCTGCGTTTTCTAATCTTTTCCCTCTTTATCAGAAACGTTCTTGGTTTCCAAAAATGGATGCAAGCAACCAAAACACCTCATCATCTCATCAGGACTCTTATTCCCTGAAGAAATGCTGCAGACAGAAGCGCTCGCTATCTCCAGTGTTTGCAGTGTAAACAAGGCAACAGCTGTTTTTCTAAAGTTGGAGACACAAGGTCAAGAAAAAGGAGTGCTAGAGCTAGTTTTCTGCACCATTAACTTGCTCTTCCCATTTATGCTTGGTCTGCCTTGTGAAGAGAGCCATGAGCTTGAGGCCGCAGCCACAGTGGGTACTGTGGGTGTTAACACAGAAAAACAAATGTTATGTTTCAAACTTTTTTTGTAGTTCACAGACTTTTTAACCACATCAGAATAACACATAAATCAAATAATAAAGCAGATGTTCTCCAGAAGAATGCTGAACATCATGGATGTCTGATGTTGATTCCTTGTACACAGAGAGCTTCATATTTTTTAGATCACTGAGCCTCCATTTTTGTTTTGTGCATGCCCGTCAAACAACTATTATCATTCAACGCCAACAAGCACCAAACCTCAGGATCATGCAAGTCTCTGGTCCCTGGTGGTCAAGTCAAAGTCTGAGTGATGAGAGGAGATTATGAGTCTAGTTCTTGTCAAAGCCTTTTTACTTTTTCTGCTCTCTGATCCATTTTTCTCTCAAACATGTTCTGCTGCACCTGCTTGCTTTTGTTAAAAATCTTTACAAAATGCACATTTTATGATGCCTCTTCAGGCATCCTCAGGCTGGTACCGATCAAGACAGCAAATAAATCTACATGCAGTTGACAACCATAGACTGTATATACTACGAACAACTTGGCTTAGCCTTCTGTCATGATACAAATTTGAAGCTGAATTGCTCTCTGTATTTCCAGGATTTTCTCCACTCCCTGGAACCACAACTCGCGCAATAGCATTGTACGCATTCAATGGGAGAGTCGCTGTGATGAGAGTCGCTCTGCTCAAACAGCATATCCTTCAGGTGAGCTAAGTAAACTTTGTACACCCCTAATAACTTTTAAAAAATGGAGCTGTACAAAAAAAAGAGGACTTGAGCACAAACCAGTCTTACAATAACTACAAGCCAATATCGCAACCAGGGGGGAGGAAAATTTATGTTCTGTGTGATAAATTTCTCAAGTTTGTCTACAGCTCCATTGGGATTGCTGGAGGAGGCGGGATTTATGACCTATACTGCAGCCCGTCACCTGAGGGTGCTGTTCTCGCGGTGGCTTCACCCAGCGAGGAGGCAGATGGCGTCCATTCTATATACAGTCTACGGTGATAACCTTCACTTGAGAGGCAAAAAGGACAAACTGATCAAAACTATAAAACAGTATTGACCAATAAGTGAAGTCTTTGTGTACATCTTTTGAGTTTAAATGCAGTGTCTAAATCATTCCTGCCTGAGTCCAAGTTGGGTCACAAGTCATAAAAACCTGAGCATATAGTCAGAATCGAGTCCTGGACTTGGGTCCTATCTGTCATGCAAAGTGCAATCTATGAAATGCTATTGAGCTACAGTGGGTCAATGAAGTATCAATGTACAACAGTGCACAGGCAAAAGCAAGGGCAGGGATGCAAATAATTCAGGAGTCCAATTTAAAGGAAACATGAGTTAGAAAGCAGTTGTTGGTTGAAAGAATACACACTGGGTAACAGGATTGTGAATGACTGATAGAAAGTTAGATTGACTGTCCTCATCAGTCATATCTAATTTAAATACTTGTGTTGAATTACAAAGATGTTAAAAGATGATGTTTAATTATTTAAGAGGGAAAAGTGCAGCTTGTTGCTGAGATAAATAGCCATTGATAGTTTAGGGTTTGCTGGCAGATTTGGGGACAGACAGGTTTCAAGGCTTCCCATGCCACCCTTCTTGATCTGACCTTGGTCGAAGTGCATGATTAGTCAACCAGCTCACCTCCTGTTTGGTGTAAAGGAGCTCAGCAGTGAGACAACACGATGGAAACAGTATCTAGCAAGCTTAATACCTTTCAGGGAGGTAATAATTAACTTCTGTGGGTAATTAACTTCAGTGTGCTGAGGGGCTGACTTTACTGGACCCAACAAAAATGAGGAGTACCAGTAAGTGTGCCTGTTTTCATTTCATTTGGTACAATGTGAGAAACTCAGAGTAATACAACACTGGCTGGTCTGAAAATGTGGTCAGTATTAAAGCCATGTTCACAGATATTTAAGAGGTCGAGCTGAGGAGCTTGTAGTTTCCCTCCTTTTAGTAAAACTTTCAAAGCTAAAAAACCAACCCTAAATGGAGAGATGTTTGTACTCATGTACACTTGGAGGGACTGAGGTTTAATTACAAAACTATTTACATATAATTCCTGTAAATGTTGCTCATAAATTAGCCCATATTCTACAATTTAAAGGGTTTTGTCAACAGATTATACTGCCAGATTTAAAAACAGGTTCAACTAAACCAAACAAAATTGAGTGTTTGGTGGATTATTTCCAAAATAAACTGCGACTCTTTAGTACTTCACATTTATTGTACTGAAAAGAAAACCTTGAACAAACCTGAGCTATGAAGCAGGTGTTGCGCAGTCTGCAGTTTATCTGATCTGAGTTTGTCCCTGTGGTCACTTTATGTGAGGTTACGGCTCAGCTTATTATAGATTGTATCTCTGCTTTACATACATTTAGCTACAGTAAGGCTCCTCTGGGTTTTAGAGGCCTGGATTGAATTTCAACAATGTTGTAATCAGAAGCAATTTGCACACATGTCACAGCTGAGTGGCTCTGCTTTAGGTAAACAGGTATGATAGAAAGATTTGGAGAGGATTTGGACGGCCTTTCTTGGCTTTCCTTGACACTGTCAGTGTGGATAACATTAACTGTGACTGCTAGCCGCTGTGTTTGACAGGCTGTGTACCCGAAGTGCAATAAATTTAAAAAATGGACATTACATAACTCGAACTGAACCCTATTCAGCTTGATTGGCCTGCAGAGGATCTGAAGCAAGCAGCCAAAAGATTCGGTGGAAATAAGAGGTAGATGGGAAAAAAGCTGTTTTTAGATTTCAACTCTTTATCCAGACAAGCAGATCTGGATTTTGTCTCCAGGTCTCCTTCCACACAAGTAACACGCTGCAGGAGATTGTCTGTGTGGGACATATTTCAACCACTCACATCGTTCAGTCTTAAGATGATGGGAAATAGGAGTCCTAAGATAGATTGACAGTCTGTTAAAATCACCACAGCTTGAGGAAGGACATCTCTGCGAGACAAATGCATTAGTATAATGCAGGTGTAATAAAACTGCAAGCAGGTACCTGAGGGGAGCAGAAAAGTGAACTAAGTTGAAAATTTGTTGACATGGGCATTTAGAAGAAAAAAATACTTTCTGATTCACCACCACAAAATGATAAGTCATATAGTCTAATAACATAAGTATGATTGTGTATAAATCACAATCAGTACATTTTATTCTAAAGAGAAAATCTCAGAGAGTAGGACACTGTCTGAGAGTTCTTGATACATTTGCACATTTCATACCAGACTGATCAATACTCTGAATCTGGTTTGAGAAGTGTTGTATGGTTTCTATCTTTCCAAAACAAATTCTTTTTCTGGGAAATAAGATACAGTTTAAAATCAGATGTGTACTCAATAACAATGCCAATAATGACTGAATGACTTGATAATGGTTTGAAATGGTCTGTGTGGTTTTGAGCAGGACAAAGAGTAAACAGACCACAGCTAATTTTTCATGTGCAGGTGTTGAACAGATAATATACTAAGACAAAACCCTGATAGCTTATATGTGCTAGTTTTACCTCATGAAAACACAAACTCAACTGTAATACTTGCTCAAACATGAGTCATGTTAAATAAATGATTTGGCACCATCTGTGATGAACACCCACTTTTTTCACTGCTAAACTAGCCTAAAAAACCTGGCGGGTTATTGGGATCAAGCCCAGAGAGTGTTCTTGAAAACTGAGCTAATCTTTGATGGCACATTTAGAGAGTTTTTTTTTTTTTCCTAAAGCAAACATAAAAATGAAAGAGTGAGCGGATCGCATAAAAATAATTGACTAAATACACCATGAAGGCCTCGTGATGAGCTGCAGACAATTTGCTTCTGTAACTTAATCGCTTCACTCTGTGAATTTATTGGCATAACTGCAGTTTTACACATTTTTATATTCATGATATTTTAGCCAAAGATCTTATCTGCCCTAAGGGAAATTGCTGTGTAATAATTACTGAATAGACAGCACTTTAAGACCATTCAAATCTAAACCTTTGATAAAAGCTGATGACTTTTATGTGCAATTTAAGCATGTCCGAACAAATATTTATCACAAACTCACACCCTGTTGACCCAGTTTCTTAGAACCAGCTTTTTAGCACCTCGTGCCAGTGGTGGCCTCAGCAGGGAGGGGTGCGGTCTACTGCCAAAGTCAGCTCAGGAACAGGGGGAGAAACACCAAGACAGGATCAAGAGGCAGGTCCGAGCCTGGATCACTTTACACTGAAGATGATGTACTTTAGCAGTGAGTCTCCTTCCAAAGAGGGGATGCCTGGTGTTTTGGCTTCTGTGATTTATTTCTACATTTACAGGCAAGGAAGTGTTACAAGGACGGGGTATTCATTACAGCACCCCAAGAAAACTCCATTACCTTGCCAGGTCCCCATCCTAGACAGTCCAGGGGTCCTGGGAGCAGGGCACAGTATGGATGATGATGCTTTCCTTGAGCCACACTGTCATTGTGCGTGGTAAGCTCCACTGACATTACAGAGTGTTGTTCTGCGTGTTTGGAGGTCGAGTTTCTCCATGTGAGGGAGATTAGAAAAGGCTTAGTCCTCCTCTTTTCTGGCGTCTTCTGAAATAAATCACACCTCCCGTGTATCTCCTCAGACTGCAGAGATGTGGGAGTTGTTGAGATGATGAAGGAGGAAATGTCATGAGTGAGAAATAAGGGAGGAGGATGTTATCAGGAGGTGGAGGAGGAGGAGGTGTAAAGACAGCGATGGAGGTTGTTGTCAGCTTAGACTTTCCCTCTTGGGACCGTGGCGGGAGAAACAGGAAGTGGGGCTCAGTGGAGGTCAACGGCCTCTTGACACGCCAGGACAAGAGAGCAGCCATGTGTGTGTATATGTGTGTGTGTACGTGCTGTCATTTTGATGGATGCCTCTTACTGATGTGGCTCAGACATGTTACAATTACAGCATGCTGTATTCATCAACCGTGCTGTAATTGATTTATTTGCTCGCAGTCACATGCAGTTCAAAAACTTGGCAGGTTGTGTTGCGCACAATGATGGATTAGGCTAAAACACATTTAACACGATGAGATGAGGAATAAAACACTTTTATTGGAGAACTTATTCTTTTGGGATTATGGGTCATTTATTTCTGGAGGCGTTTTATGCTGGTGTCACTTTTTTTCGGCTTTTTATTCTAACTAGTAAAGTTTAAGATTTGTTTTATAAGGTGTTTTGTTAAAAAAAAAAATTGTTAGTGTTGTAAGTCGCTTGTGAAAGCACATTTTCACTACTTTATACCAAGGCTGAACTGGTTAGTTTTCTTCCACCTGTTTTTCTCATAGAACAGAAAAACATAAGAGTGATATTTAAGAGTAAAACTGTCCTAAACCAAAATGTTCCCACGTTCATAGAAGCTTCATCTCCAGTTTAAAGAAAATCAGCCTCAGCATCAGCTCCCTCCATGAGGTGTGAAGGTGTTACACACACCGGCATGCACCGCTCTTTAGGAGTTGTTGTGTAATCGTGTGCGTGTGTATTCTTTTGAAACCTGTGTGAGTTTACACATGTGAAGGTGTTAGTGTGGCGAGCGTGAGCACCTCCTCTCTGTTTATTTGCTCTACCAGCCCACTTCCAGGACCCAGGCCTCAGGGGAAACATCAGGACCGTGGTCTAACAGAGGAAGCTTTGACAGGGAGCACAGGAGGTCTGAACCACTTCCACCAGACTAGAAGCTGACCTGCACTCCTCCTCTTCCTCTCCCCCCTCTGTTATGCCTCACCTCTTTCCCCTTTCGCCTCATCTTCCCATCATTTCTCCCATCCCGCCCCCTCTTTAAAAACAGCCTTTAACCTCTCAGTACAGGGCTGGAAGAATTCTTTGGTTTGAACAGACACACACCGCAGCTTACTGACTGACTTAATGAACATTTTGTGAGTCTTTTTACAGCTGCTATACAAGCCCTGCACTCTTTCATCCACAGACGCCAAACTGCTTTTGTTCATTTAGTTAAAAAGTGCTGAGGATTTAGTGCTTGGCACAAGTTTTGGAAAACTTACACTTAGTTATTTATCATCATTACTCTTACTTCTTTGCTTCTTTCAAAGTTTTTAAGTATCCAAATACTTCAATAGCTTTTTCAGTGGGTATGGACACTCGGTGGGCCAATTTCTCTTTTCAACTGATGCCAATTATGAGAAAGCAATATCATAAATCATAATTAAATACACATAGTTATCTTGGACATAAATATGTTTGGATGGATTCTTCATGAATTCATGGAATAAAAAAAGGATGCTATTGACGTCAGCACAAACACAGTTTCAACTGTTACAGGTACAGTCTTACCGGTTAGCATCAAAACAAGTTTATTTAACTTATAGTGAGTTACATGTTTGGCAGTTAAAGACAGCAGGATGACCATTTTCATACCATTTGGTCATGTACAGGCAGAGGACATTAAAATATCATAAACAAGAGCCCCCCACAAAAGCATTAAGAGGATGGGTAAACATTTCTTAGAGGGAGGCAAAAAATTAGGGTCAAACACACCTTAACACTGAGTTAGACACCCTGTCAAGAGATGAATGTTACCGATCGCTTGCCTCTCTACTTATACCACCTTAGTAACGAAAGCACGATAGCAATACACAGCGGTCTCAGGAGCCATAAACAGACCTCAACCAAAAAGCCACTCTACAGTCACAAATAATGCTCAGAACAGCACCTAACTTCATCAAAAGTACATATAGGGTCCCAGCCACAGCACTAGCCATCAAACATCTTTTTACATCTTTATTTCTTTAGCAAAGAGACTAAACACAACTCAACCACTCTCCTCCAGCAGCTGCTTGTTTGTATGGAGACCTCGGACAAGTCTATCACCCACTGCAGCGGGGTGATGCAGCTCAAGGAAGAACATTTATGATTATTACTTTGTCATTTCTTAAAGTAATAATCATCGTATTTATCATTTTGCACTGCAGACGCGGTAGTTCTTCTGCATTAGTGTCTCGGTCTAATTGCATTTCCATGAATGTTTGATGGCTGGTGCTATGGCTAGGACCCTCTATGTACTGTTGATGAAGTTAGGTGCTGTTCTGAGCATTATTTGTGGCTGCAATTAGCTTTTTGGTTGAGTTGTGCGCCTGGCTCCTGAGACCACTGTGTATTGCTATAGTGTGGTTAAAGTTTGTATAACTAGAAAAGCAAGCGGTCGGCACCCCATCTCTTGACGGGGTGTCCAACATGGTGTTATGGTTTGTTTGACCCTAACTTAATTTTACGCCAGAATATCCCTTTAAAATGTTCCCACCACTGAGTACTCTTTGTGCTTCACGCAGTCAATTAACGTTTCATCTACTCAAAGCCTTCTACCTGCCAGATACAGATATTTTAGAGGTACTGTATATGTACCGACATACTAGACCCAGTAACGTCATACTTTTAAGACATAAAAATGTGTTTCTGTGGGCTTCCTTTCACTTTTGGCGAGCGTTATCCCACATTTTCTGAGAGTTTTTTTTTTATGTTGGTCCAAATTACTCAGCAGCTGTGAGCTGTTTCATAAAACATCTGATTATTAAAAAGGACCAAATCCCTCTGCTGCCTGTTATTCACTGTTTGATTAGAACAATACAGCAAAAACCACAGACCTAGTTTTTAAGAATGATGCAGTATCTCCCCACCTCTTTGTGACATTTGTAAATTACCCTACAGTGCTCTTACGTGCATAATATCCCAGAAAACACTGACCAGATCATAATGATGCATAGACGAGTGATTCATTTACACACATTATGCCAGAATTTGAAATTGGCTCATCACTGCTGAGGTCAAAAACAGATGGGTTTGTTTGTGCTCTGCCATTTAGAGACTGGAACATTTCTGTGGTAATTTGTTTGTTGTGGCTTATATATTATTTGTTTTCAACACTAAACAAAAATACAATGACTTTCTCAGTATGTGTCACTGCTTACGCACAAAATCTGTTCTGTAAAGGTTTAAAGGCAAATGACAGTCTGGTTCTTCTTAACCTGTATGCAAACAAAATTTGGGGAACACGTTCAGATGGTTTCACAGGCATGCTTTGTACCTGATTACATTTCTGTGCAGAAAAACTGAGTTCATACCATGAATGTTGCCAAAAATCTACTGTAATCCCCCCCAAAGTTCCCATCATCTTGCCTGGAGTGAATCAAGGTCTTTCTGACTTACTGCTGCTGTCCTTACATGTCTGATAAACATATTTCTTTCAGTCAAACATTTTTGCTAATGGCATTTTTATGTCTGCGTGATGTTTTGTGCCAAACAGACTTTGATTTACTCTCTGATATCAGATGTTTATGTCTCCTGCCCACATTGTAAAACTTTTCTTTATCGCGCTATTTACCTCCCCTGTGCTTCCATAATCATTCACTGCATGATTTTTGGCATTGAAATGACTGTATGAAAACCCAGCTGTGGACGGGTAAAAGGAATAACATTTGTGTGTGTGTGCACGTGTGTGTATATGTGTGTGAGACAGAGAGAAGCTGTCAAAAGTAACACTTTTCTTGGATGCTTGAAATGATCGTATTCACAAAGCAGAAATTTTTTTGTCTGACATCACGCTCTGGGTGGGGGTCTGAATAACTGTTATAATCTAAAACTGCTGCTGGTTTGTAAATCTTCAAAATAATAGGAATCATACAATATTCATTATTTCATTACTCTCTATCACTGTAGAAGATAAAAAGTCACATGACAGGTGATGTCTGAAAACTTCAAATTCAATCAGCGCCATAAAAACCCTTTAGTCAGCTTGGTGGTTTCATATTGAAACTGTGGGATGGGTAAAAGATAGAAAGTCGGCTTCTCTTTCAACCACCAGACACGGTAACTTGTGTTTTACATATGTGCAATTACGAGAATAACTCATTTGGAGGGTTTTTATAAGTATAGAACAAGTCACCAGATATTACCGAGTTTCTTGAGTCTGAAGGGTCAAACACAAATCAAAGAAAGCAAAAATAACATACTTGATAACCAATAGGTTACACCTTAAAGGGATATTTTGGCGTAAAATTAAGTTAGGGTCAAACACACCGTAATACTGAGTTTGACACCCCCTCAAGAGATGAATGTTGCCGACTGCTTGCTTCTCAAGTTATACCAACTTTAGTTACAAAAGCACGATAACAATACACAGCGGTCTAAGTCTCCACGCGCACACCAGGTTTGTGCTGGCTCCTTAGACCGCATTACTAAAGGTGGTATAATGAAAGAAGCAAGCAGTCAGCAACATTCATCTCTGGATGAGGTGTCTAACTCGCTGTTACGATGTGTTTGACCCTAACTTAATTTTACGCCAGAATATCCCTGTAAGGCAACTGCTTACATTGGCACCTGACCGCCTCAAACATTGTTGGTGAATAGTCTGACACAGGCGTAAGCCTATGTCATTAGATAATAGTAATGATTGATTGCTTATATGTTTGTCTGTGTAACACTATAACTCTGAAAGTGTAACAATCTGTTTAAAGCTAGAAATATAACCCCATCCTGTCATAAAGCTTAAGTGGCAAGTTTACATGTTAGCTGGCATAAAAGATAAAAGTTTTCTTGTTTTTGTAGGGGATATATTACCTCATGTGTTGTATGCATTCACCTCTGACACCCACTTTAATCTGGTTTATTCTGTTTTTAGGTTTCTCACAGCCACTTTCACGATAAAAAGCTCCAGAAAACATTAAACACAAACAGAACTGATTAATCTTCCAGTCCTAGTTAGCTTCACCACAGAGATTAATGATGTTTAAGCTAGCAAAGCCCTAACATCTGGGGAGTTTAAAATCCTCTACAATGAAGCAAAAACCTCCTAAAAGTGTTTGGTGCCAAACATTAATGTTGGCTCAATGCTAACTTTTGCTGCCGATTAGCTTTTCACCCAGAATCAGAGCTTGATCTCTGTCCAAAAGCTTCACTTTTCATTGTCTTTTTATTGGCTGATAAAGTGGGAAGAGGTCAAATGACAACATTTTGTTAGATTATCTGCATGATTCAATTAGCGAACTTGAACACAGCATCCAGGATCATCTACATTTGAACACAACTTTGCAGGAGACCCAGGTGACCTGTGGATCTGATATTTTAGTTTTTTGCATGTTGCTGGCTTTAAAACACGTGTCAGTGGATGGATCTGTGCGGATAGTGATAGATGGTGAGTGATGATCCAGTGCAGAGTTAAGTGCACAGGGGTGAAGGTTAAATGGTGGATTGGGTAAGTGAAAGATAAGGGAGAGTGAAAGCAGCAAAGAAGTGAGGTCACAACAGATCCCTCATAAATGATGTGTGTGGATAGGTTTTCCTGCCAGACAGGAAGAGTCTGTCTTTAAAAGAGTGCGATTTTACCAAAGATTCCACTGGAGACTCAAACTGAGGCTTGAAGTAATGGACTGATAACACTAAGAAGGTCATCCAAGTCTTCTAAATAGCCTTGTGGACTGCCATAGTGATGAAAAATCCTGAAGGTAATGAGAGATTTATAACTGTAGTCACTCTCCAGCTGCTACACTCTCCTTGTTGTGTTGATACATGAGACAAAGCTTTGTGCCTGCATGGATACGCATTATAAAAATAAGAATAACTGAATTTACCCCCGAAGGGAAATTCAATCAAACCGTCAATCAAACCTCGCATCATGCAAGGCTCGTCTACTTCAAACAACAACGCAACAACAATGTGTTTCCAGTCTGTTATCAGTGGGTCTGTGATTTGTGTAGTTGGGGTATTGACAGTGACAGAGCAGCAACAAAAGCGCTGCAAAGAGCTAATCGAGAGCAGATTTTACAAAGAACAAAAATGCATTGGGGTTTGGTAAAAGGGCTGTTCAGGTGTGCACTAATCAGAAAAAGATGGAGGAAGGTGACTGGAGTCTTTTTGGGAAGTCCGACTGTGGTCTTCAGCTCTACGAAGACAATTAAAGCTCCATTAAACACAGGAAGTGTAACTCAAAGGCCTCGTAAAGGTTTTCTCTGAGAAAATGAAGACAAAGGAGCTAAGTGCTGCTCTGTGTAGTGAAACGGCAAAACTCAGAGCGGTAAAGGCTTTGCTGGAAAGAAAAAAAAAAAAAATCCTGTGTCAACTCCAAGTGTGAGAAAAATGAACAGGTTACCGTTCCCACAGCTGGGGGTTTGTTGATCGCCGTCCAAAATACACAGGGAGAAAACGCCAAAGGCAGAAACAAGAGTGATAGTTTGAATAGGATGTCCCTCTGGACTTCTAGATGCAGTGCAAACAATCTATCAGAGGATCGTGTTCACTGCGAATGTGTTGCCCTTTTGTGTAAGTCCACTATTTATCACAGCTTGGCGAGAACTGAGATTTCATCGAACATTTTAACAGTTTAAGATTAAGACAAAATAACTTTATCCCCTGTGTTAATGATGAGGACTGAGCTGAAGACAGGGCTGTCAGTGCCTCACTTAAATCTCCTGGATGATGAACAGTAGACTGCTGCAAGAGGGGATTTCATCACCAGAACACACACACTCACAGACGCACACACACTCAACCGTCATACATATACTGCATATCACATGTACACGCACACATATGTTTACAGTTTTTCAAGTGTTGTTCTACTCAGTGAAATAGGACTATGTGTACCCACTTGGGCACCAAAAGGATGATCTCATCCACGTGCACCTGCACACACGCACACACAAACACACACAGATATACACTCGTAAAAGTATCAAATGAACTGATATTCAATACAAACATTTAACAACATCCACATGCAACCCACACACATGCTCTACAACTCATACATTTATGTCTGCGCACACACACCCACACACTAACTGATGCAGACATGTGTTTCTTATCTGTTTAAGAACTCAATCACATCACCTCCCGCTGTTAGACATAACTAGCTTTAGCATTGAGTCTTACTGTTTATCGTTTACGTTGATCCGATCATTGAGGGACAAGCCACTGCAGCTCCAAATGTCAAATGTCAACTGTGTGTTGAACATTATTACTCAGCAATAATATTATGAACAAACATATTATTAAAAGAAAAATGACAGATATTTTCGATTCATCAAAGAAAAAGTGAAGAACATCACACTGCACGTGTCTTTTTTTTCAGCCACAGCAGTGATGTTATAGCTTTTTTACGGCTTGTTAGAGGGGGACCTGCAACTGCAGCTCCCAGCAGGCTCTGTGAAAATTCAGCTTACACAAGGAGCCACACACTAACATACACACTGAGGAGAGACCATGTGCGCACATACACACACACACTCCTGCTTCTCATCACCTGCTACAGAGAGCAGCCGTCTGTCTTTACAGCCAGATACAGCTGAATAACACTCCAGTGATGTGATACATTCTGCATCTGTTTTTCAAACACAGAGAGGGAAAGACACACGGCCTGTTTTCAGCCTGTTTCATTGACCTAAGAATTGGCTAAGCAGTGTGGTAAAGCACTTAAATACACCTGGACCTGGACACATGTGGAGTTTGATTTTTTAAAAGATTTTTCTGTGTAGACTTGTGCGCTATGTGTTATTGGTGCTACTGTAAGCTTTCATGAGATGTCCTCTTGTAGCATTCAGCATCCAGGGAGCGAATGAAAAAACTTCAGATCACTGAATTATTATTAATCAGTTTCAGATTTATATGAGTAATGATCATCAGAGCTTACTGTCAGTGATTTACTGTATGTGTATATGTGTAGTGCACCACCTTTTTTGTTCTTCCAGTAGATTTTCTATGTAGGAGACTTGTGTTGTTTGTTCTTTTACTCAATTTTTGTTTTTCATCTCTATTTTATACAATTGCACAACATTTAATTCAATGATATGCAAAATTGCGTAAAAGAGCAACCCTGTTTCTTCCAATTATGCTTGACGTCAAAGATTTAAACCACTGCCTCCTCATCATATCTTGGGAAGTAATCCATACATGAATCATCTCCTGACTGGACAACACAACTCGCTCCTTGTTGGCAGTCATCGTAAAACAGTCTTCACCAGAAAGCAGCAGATGGTCTCTAACTTATTTTAAGAGAGCCACCCCATCAGCCCGGGTCGAGCTTCTCAACATTAGCTTCCTAATTGATTCAGAATTGCTTTTAAGATTCTGCTGATCACTTTTAAAACATGTCAGGGTCCGGCTCAAAGGTTAATATTTCAACTGTTCACTCCTCATGAGTCAACCTGCTTCAGATCCTCGGGTTTAGGGACCCTCACAGTTGCTTTAAAGGAGATCATGCTTTTGCCATCAGGACTCCTTGACTTTTATCAACCTCTCGGAGTCACATCTTTTAAATCACTTCTTAAAACTCTTGTTTGTAAATCTGCTTTTATTTGCCATTTTACCTGAATTTGTAATCCCATTTTTGCTTTTGTACCATATTTCTTATTACACCACTAGTTGCTTTACGCTTAACACCCTCATGTTTTTTGTCGCCATTGATTCACAGAAAGTTGCCTTCATGGTTTTTATTGTTTTGCTTTTATGTAATTGCATTTTTGTCCTGCTTTTATTGTTTTTATTTATTTATTTTTCGGTTGCATACATCATTTTACACCTCGTTTGGATTTTCCTGTTGTTAAAGGTTTCGGCTATTGGGTTATTATATTGTGTGGATTACATTTTGGTTTATGTTTTTACATGTTTGAGTCCTTATGCCTTGCTGCTTTAAAGGGATATTCCAGCGTAAAATTATTTTAGGGTCAAACACACCGTAACACCAAGTTAGACACCCTCTTGAAAGACGAATGTTGCCGACCGCTTGTTTCTCTAGTTATACAAACATTAGCAACGACCGCGCGATAGCAATACACAGCGGTCTACGTCTCCACGTGCAAACCTCAATCAAAAAGCCACACTATAGCTACAAATAATGCTCAGAATAGTGCCTAACTTCATCAACAGTACAAATAGGGTCCTAGCCATAGTACTAGCCACCAAACATCTTTTTAGCTTTGCCTGATTTCTTTAGCAAAGAGACTAAACACAACTTACCCAAGTTGTGTTTGAGGGGGAGCCCTGACAAGTCGATCACCGAGTGCAGCAGAGTTTCGTTGCCCAAGGAAGAAAATTTCTGACCATTTCTTCATGGAAATACAATCAGACCAAGATGCTAAGGCAGAAGAACTCATGCGTCTGCAGTGCAAAATGACTGATATGATGATTATTACTTCGTGGAAATGATCCGCTGCACTCGGTGATTGACTCGTCAGGACTCCCCCCACAAACAAGCGGCTGCTAGAGGAGAGTGGGTGAGCTGTGTTTGGTCTCTTTGCTAAAGAAATCAGGCAAAGCTAGATGGTATAACTAGAGAAGCAAGCGGTCGGCAACATTTATCTCTCGGGTTGTCTAACTCGTTATGGTGTGTTTGACCCTAACCTAATTTCATGCCGGGATATCCCTTTAATTGCCTTTGCTTTTGCATCAAAACACTTTGTAAATTCATGATTTACAAAAGATTTTATAATTGACATAAAAGAGACGGTGGTGGTGGAACCTGCAGCTGAACCAGTGGAGAACTGGACTAAGAAAAACAAAGCTAATCTTATTTCCATTTTAAAAGAAAGAAACTTCTGTTTATGTTCACCATGTACATGCACATGTTATATCAGTCTGTACACAAAGCAGCTGCTTAGACTAAACAGCATTGTTGCTCAAAAGGAAAACACAGACTCTGAGTCTCACTCTGTTCCTGATTGGTCAAAATGTAGTCATATTTATGACAGAACAGATGTTTCTGATCCAAAGAGGACAACAAAGAGGAAGGGGGAGTGAGAGGATCAGACCAATAAATACACAAGGAAGACTGAAGATGAGTCACAAAGCGAGAGTGAGGGGGAGAGACGTGGAGAAAGACGAACTGATCAGGATGAATTAAAGTGAAAGTAACACAGTGAGAGGACGACAGTGGAAGTAAAAATTGTAGGAGATGTGTGAGTGAGAGTAAAGGTCTGATTCACTGATCGTGTCCATCAGCTCAGCCACATGTTCTGGTCAAGGTGGGAAGCCACTTACAGGAGAGAGAGAAAACAGTCAGCAGCTTCCCTCTCAGCTCTGATTTCTCCCTCCTGCTCTGTGTAAAGACCTTTACGTGGTTTCCAGTGAAATCCCCCTGCAGAGAAGAGCGCTCGGCCTGCCAGGGAGCAGCTTTATTTCCTTTGGATCAAAAAATACCTCCACAGACCCCCTCTCCTGAACTTTCTTTTCCTATTTTACATCTGCCAGCAGCCTGCAGGAGTTCCCTCACATGTGCAAAGTTTTGTCATGTTTCTTATCCCATTTTACTATTAGCTATTAGTAAGTTGTCTGTATGATAAGGTTTTAAAAATCTGATGTGTGCTGCATGTTTTTCAGTGGTTGTTAACAATAAGCTATGAAGAGGGCTGCGATGAGGATAAAACAAGTCATAGCCTCATGAAAAAGCCTTTTAGACAAAAAAAAATGAAATACTTATTTGATTTAAAGGCTTAATAGACTGACAGTTCTGGTCACATTTGAAATTAAAAGTGATTTACTTCAGACCAAGTTTACAGACGCTGGATAATATTTAGATTTCCTCTGTCATCCTTCTCTTTGTCTTTACTGAGCTTTTAACGTCAGAATACTATTAAACTCGACATGTAGTTCATCACTGTTAAATAGCTGTCATTCCTCCTGTAAACAGACTTAGTGTACAAACTTAATAAGATAATGACTTTATCTCAGTACAGCAATGTGAGAAAGAGGCGACCCCCACATTGTGTTTTCCTCTCATGTGATTTATCTGCCCTGCTCACCCTTCATGTTCCTTGTTAGTCTCAGTAGCTGTCATGTCAGTGTTTAGATATCTGAATAACTCATTAGTTCAGTTTATTTTATATCTAATCTGCTGGGCTATTGCTCTCTTTTATCCCGCTGGTGGCTCTTGTTCTGCTTTCCCTCGGCCTGTTTGGAGAATTTATTTTCAGTTGAAATGTCTATAAAGTGTGCAGCTTGTGAAGAAATACTCGATCTGCACAATACTGAAAACAGTGACATGATAAGGTGTAATATTTAAGGACATCAAACCAGATAAAATCAGTTTGATTTAAATGTGAAAATTAACTGTTATACTTTCATTAATTGTGTCTTTAGGTCTATCTTTTCTTAAAAGTGCAACCGTCTTCCTATTTTTGGAGGAATTGGTTCAGATCTCAATCACGTGCACAAAAGAAAACAGGTGGAAAGTTTGGGTGAAGCAACACATTTCCTAATTAATCAACTTCACAAACATATTTGTGTGTTTCAGTTTGATTACTTACATGTCACTAACCCTTTTCTGATGATGTTTAAATGTACATATAATCTGCCTGTCTGGGCCTCTAACTAGAAATGTGAAAATTTGTCACCAGAAGTGTTGGTTGATAACAGATTTTTATGACATGGCATCCTGCTGTAGTAAGGTGGTTTACAAATCAAAAATAAAGTTGCGTGTCTGAAATGCCGTGTCTGAAAACTGAACACTCTTCACCCATTGACTGGTATGGATCAACTACGTCAATGAAACAGTGCTGAGCTCTGACTGTGTTCTGACCTTTAGACGAATAGGTTAGTCAGAATTTACAGTTTTGCGTACGTAATAAGGATATTACTCACTTTGGAATATCCAGACATGTAACAGTAACCTTGTGAAACAAAAGCTTCTGGTCCAAATGCAGTGACTCACACACATTCACTTTACAGTCTGGTTTATACTTCTGTCTTGACTCTGCAGAGAAGTAGCCAATGCCGCCATGAATACTTCAAACCCGCATCAGTGTCCATGTCGCTCTGCAATAACACAGCCCTCAACACTAGTTAGCAGTCCAATGTTTATGCTCGTCATATCACGAGTTTCAAGTCCTACTAAATTGAAGCATAATGTGTTGAAGTTGGAGCTAATCTATTTTGTGTGGCGTGTTCATGCTGGAAATGTTACCAAGATGAAAAGAGAGGAGGTGTTAGAGGAGATGGACTATACTGCCTCTGAGGAAGAGGCGATCATGGAAACATCCAACATCAAGCGAACCAGTCAGAGGACTCGCAGTCTGTGTTGTTTCACCAGTTACATTTTTAAAAAAAGACATTGGGCTGCACATGTATGCTTCTGTGTAGGTAAAAAGTAGCGCAGACCTACAGCAAATGTCACCAGACGCAGAAGCATAAAGCAGGCTTTAGTGTGCTGCTGGTGTCTCTCCTTAAAGAAAGCTCTATACATTAACAGACCATTGGGATACTATAGCGTTCACCCCCACAGCTAGCCAGGGCTGCTAGTAACCGGAGCACACTCAGTCAAGAGTACATCTGTACGACTGCAACACACAAGTATTGGCATTAACCATCTAATCAAACAGTTAAAATAATGATATTCTACGAACAATAAGCAGATTGTAACACCATGACTTCATGGTAGAAATCCTGACGCTGGGCCAAGTGTCTTTCAACAGAGGACAGATGAAGATGAAGAAGCAGACGGCTAGCAAACTACCTGTAGCAGCTCTTTGAGAGGTGATTACACACTTTCATAAAACTTTCTTTCCAAGATAGATTGTGAGTCTAAAAACAATGTTAAAGCCGGTACCTCTACTGGTGACTAATCAACTGAACATTTGTACTTTCTAACAGTTCATTTCACTGTTTTTTCAGCTCTGTAACTTACAATATACCAAAAGTAGTTTACTTCAAAATAAAAGCAATGTTTCACAGTGCAGGAAATAAAGCAATCTAGACACAAGACTGAAAGAAATATCAAAATAAAAGCATGACAATTGTTATGAGGATGACTGCACCAAAGAGTTTTCAGTCACAGGACCGGTGATGTGGATGAATCTGGACATTATATGAAATATGTGATGGTATGTAATGTTAGTGGTGTAGTGGCTCATGAGTTTAGAAAGCTTTATCGTCCCTCAGGGGGACATTTGATTAGCAGCTGGTGGTACCAACCCACTTGTGACCACTTTCATGTGACTATGTAAGATGCACAAGATAGTATCTACTAAGAGAGTAAAGATAAGAGAGTGGTTACACGGGGAGTCAGCTGTTTTTATAGTGTTTGACAAGGTAGGGTAAGGAGTGAAGTGAGGCATTATACAAATAATTTAGGAGGAAACAAGGAGATGAGAGGGAGCTTAGGGGAGCTTAGGGCCTCAAGATAACACAGCTTTATCTGTAGTCCAATATGTCAAGGGGCAAAGTTTACACTTTTGCATCATCCCACACAAGCATGGAAAAGCTGAAATCTGTTGGTGTGTTACTCAATCACTCGAACCCAAACAAATCAATCAATCAATCAGTGAGTCAGTCAGTCAGGTGTTCAATCATCAGGTCATCATTTGTCCAGTAAACTGACTCTGTGTCTCCCCCTCTGTGTTTTTTCAGGGCTTTAACTGCTGAAACTCGACACATCCTGAACTCTCTGAGGGTCAATCACACCGCAGATCTGCCCTCTGCTTCCCCATCAAAGGGCACCGCCATCCCAAGAGGCCACAGGGACACAAGAAGAGACTGCTGGTGCTCAGCTTAAGTAGTTCCTGTCATTCGTATTTCTTAAACCTTTAAAATAGTCAGATCTGATCTTTTTTGACAGGGACAAGGACAGGATCAATTTCTCACCATTAACCCTTTCTGACCCGGTCTGGTTTGCGTGAAACTCATCAAGTGCTCTAAAAAACAACACTAAGCATGCCCCAAACTCAGTGTTTATTTCATTTGACCCTAACTCAGCCCTGTCTTTAATGCTCAGGCTACTAAACAGAGGCCTGGCTTCTGTCTCTCTGCTGAGAAACAGAGAATCAGAGGCTAGAAAGGAAAGAGAAGCTGTAGGGGGGAGATGTACTCCAGGCCTTGAGTCGGGTCCCATTAATGAACACTTTAAATGTTTATGGGTGACGCACAGGGCAACTGTGGGTGAGAGGGTGTGTGCTAGATTTGGTGCACAGAAACGAATCGACGTCTGTTTTGAACCACTTTTGAGTTTCATCACGCTAACAAGGAGTTTTCCTGATCTACAAAACAAATAAAAGAAACATGCTGAACTTTTGTTTGGCAGGATGTTTAAATTATGCCTCAAACATACACTGTAGCATGACACTGAAAACCACGGGTATCCACTCTGCAGGCATGTCGTGACAGGCCCTCATGTCCACGTCCCAGGATGATTACATGAGCCGGCCTGCTCTGTTTAAGGAGCATTGACTCTGAGCTCTTAAGTGAACATCAACAAACAAATAGCTAATCTCCAATAACCCCTTTTAGGAAGTCACACAGATTGCATAAAACACAAAGTAAAGTCAAACTATCCCAGACTCACGGTGTTTAAAGAGACACAGTGAAACCAAACCACTAACAACATACACTCACTAAAAGCAATCAAACATAAGTGTGAAGTCACAGCCGTGTGTGTCTGGGGCGTATCCAGACTTTTTAATGAGGGCCCATTTAGGACACTAATTTATGGAGGCCCAACATGAAGTATGTGTCCACTCAAGCACACACACTTTATTCTCCTGTGGATGCATTTAGCTTTTTAGCATTGTACAATCATCAATGTAGGGCGCCTGCGATTCGAAATTGCGTTTTATTATATCATACAGGCGATTTAGTATCTCGAACTGGCAGTTTATTTGTATCTTGCGCATGCATTTTTGTAAATAATCCTCTGCACACTTCATTTGTGAGAAGAAGGACAGTGTCATGGACAGAGACCATATTATCGACGTTTTCTTTCATTTAGGTACGACTCACAAAGAGATACTTTATAGCTTAGCCATATTTGGTATTGTTTTAAGTAAGAGAAAACCTCATCAGGATCCTTGAAGCACAGTGACTTTGCTGTCAGCGATATTTGGACTTGGAGGAAATGATTTTGTTTATTAACGAACAGTTAAATCCCACGTGCCAATTAAAAAGTTATGTCACCTCCCAGGCTCCATATCAATGTCATTGTGGGAGTTAAATGCTGAATGAACTCAATCCTAACTCCAGAGGTTGGCAAGCAGCCATTACTGTAGTGACGTCTCACCAGAACATGTAGCCTTTTTGAGAAATAATTAATTGTAGTTTAACCTTTACTATCTACACACCTTTAATTTCAAAAACCATAAAGGTGGCCTGTGGATAAACCTGAGGAGTTAAAAAAGACTACTGTAATCCAGACCATCAGCAGAAGTAGTCTGAGTTAAATCTGCCTGCAAATATTTGTTTTCCAAGTGTGAACGAATTTGAAAGACCAAAAGTATCACAAGCAAGTTTGTGAGTCTTTTGTTTCGTGCAACAGTGTAATGTCTTAAAAGCAAAAGTCAGTTTGTCAGCACTGATTACCCTCACAAACTGATTCACCATGAGACCGTGTGTCATATAAACCAACTTAATTTGCACTAACAATATTTAAACAAGCTAATGTTTAGTTTTATTACGAGCTGGACACAAAGCAAAGCTTAGCCTGGAAGGGTTGTTGGAAAGTTTAGTAGAAATCTGCTTAAAGTCACAGATTTTTGACTTTGTGATAGTGTAAACGGGAGAACAAATAAGTCATAAAGTTTTGTTTTAGGGTCGATGAACGCTTTCACTGTTTTTACGACAAACACTGACTGACTGACAGAGGGGGGGATGGGCATCATTTCAACATCTTGGGGTGATTTAAAACTGATGAAGTGTCTTTTTCCTGTAAATTTTGGCCGTCGATTTTATGACATTTAAAAATTTGCACCAAACAACTGTGGGAAATATCTGTTTGGAGGAGCTTCTTGGAGGGATGGGAGAATTGGACAGGCTTGGATTGAAAGTTTTTTCTCCTGTGAGAAGGACAACTGTGGTTGAGCTGAAAGTTGGATCATTGTGGTCGAATTGAGGTTTGCTCTGCATTGGCTTCTTAAATTGTTGTGAGTTAAATTACCTTATGTGGAAAAAATTACAAGTATTCTCAAAATTTGGCCAATTACATAGTGACTGGGACATGTAAAATTGGATATCTTTTAAACAGAGCAGCAATTAAGTAATTTTGCTTTCATTCATAAAGAGGGTGAAACGGATAAAACCACAAAGTATTTGGACGAGGAATTTGACTTTAGACTTTTCCAAACAAGGAAACACAGGGAAAAAAAGCTGGAAAGAACAATACTCTGACTTAATGGTTTTTCAGGATACATGTGCGTTTTTTTTTAACAGCGAAAATCCAAACGGAGATTTGGCAGTATGAGAAGGAAACAGAAAGCAGCTACCTTATATATCAGATGTGGACACCATCCACATCTGGGTTGGCATGAGTTGTAAAGAGACCTTCCTGCTGCTTGACCAACATCCAGCACGCAATCTCATGCTCACAAAGGCGAGTCCTGTATGAGTTTAAAATGAGTCAGGACAGGATGTGGATGTGGTCAAAAGGTTTCTTATGTGTCTGAATCACATGTTTCTGTAGCTTGCATCATGTCCCTGGAACATAGAGTACATTTAGTTTTAAAATTCAGGTAATAAGCAAATCATTTTAGTAGAGAGCCCTGAGGTGTTGTGATGCTGTGAGGATGTGTGAGGCTGAGCACATCTGTGTGTGCGGAGGGACCGAGAGTGAGAACCTCATCTGTAACAAATGAATAAGTTATTTAAAGCAAATATGTGTGTAAGTGGCCAATAGTGGAATGATATCAGACCCCTGCAAAGAGGATTCAGAGGCAGAAATTCAGCCAGAATGATCAAACTCTGGGTGACTCAGCTGTAAGATATCCATGCAGGCAAGGAACATGAAGAACCTGAGCCAGAAAACCTCAGGACATGAAACACTGACTTTAAGCTTTCCTTGTTCCTTTCTGACCTCGACTCTTTCTTGTTTTTCAAACAGCTTGAGTTGGACTGTTTTCATCTGACCACATGCTCTGAATTTGTTGTACTGAAGGTGTTTGTTGAGAAAAGCACGACAGAAAATGATTGGTAGAGCTAAGAGAAATTTATCTACAAATTATACTTGTGTCTTTAGTTATTACATTAATGCATGAGAAAGACATGGACATGGATATATCTGAGGGAATCATCAAATTACAACCTTTTGTTTTATTTATGAAGATGGACACATTTTGGCTAGTATCTTTCTTTTTCGCCTGGATCATGTACCAATGTGCCTCGAGGGGCGGGTTACTTTTCAATTCCTCTGGGCCTGCTTGCTTTTCTCTTTCAAATCAATCTTTCAACTATGAAGCCAAGGCTTACGAAGCGCTGTGTCATCATGGCATGCCATAGAGTCATTTTCAAATTGTTTTATTTTGTCCAACAATCAGCCCCAAAACCCCAAATTCTCAGTTTACAATCATGTACATCAGAAACACAGAAAACAGACCGTGTTTAACTTTCTGGCTTAAGTCGGCCCACTAACTCTTGCTACACAGAGGCCAATTTGGCAAATAATTACACAGCAATTATGGAGCCATGAAAAGCACTTGAATGCAGCATTTTAGTACCAAGAGTTGGGAAATCTGGAGCCTCACTCAGGTATGTCTGATACTCAGTATTGATCTTAAAACCACACTAAATTTGTTGTACCACGCATCGTGCTTATTCTCTGTTTCTCAGCAAATTTTTAGGTCAAATGCAGGGTTTGGCTGTGTTTTACGACAAAGATAAACAAGTCGACTTTATTCAAACATTTACCCACCAGTCCCCTGGTGAAGAGTCTGAGGGAAGTCAGGGTGAGCTGATTTGTTTCATGGCACATATGTATGACACATTTACTGTGAGTGAGTAAGCAAGATGTTATTTATGATGAGTGAACTTGTGAATTTGGATCGACCCTCATTTTGTTAGAGGTCAGTTTTGGTGGGCGAGGCTTGGCTAGAGGCAGGTTAACTAGAATAAGCCTGCTGTCAAGTCATTTCAGGCTTTATTTTCAACAACAGCAAAAGGGAACTTAGGTCTGTCTAAATATGGATGACTGGCCATTTATTCTTATCTGATACAAAAGCAAAGTTTGCATCATAATAACTAACTGAGGCAGTATAAGTCTTTACATTCATGCTTGATCACCTGAACAATCATTCAACAGGAAGACAGGCATTTTCTCAAGTTTTTGCTAACAAAGCTATAATCTGCTAATTTGCCAAAAAAAGTTAATTTTACAAAGAAATAAAATTTTCCCCTGATCAGAGGGTGATGATAACCCTTAAAATACAAAATGCCACCCATCCATTCAGCTGTGAATATCGGTTTTATGCACACAAAGGCAGCTTTGGTGGTCACTTTCGTCCACTCCTGTGTCTCATCGTGTCCAACCAAAGCTGCCTTCATTTGTTGATGGGCTTTAGCGGCTGGTATATGGTAGAAATTTAAGTTTTGATTCAACACTGTTACTTCTCTATTCTGACATCAAACAATACAACAAGACTACATTTGAGGTCCTCTGTTTTGCCTTTAACTTTGTGGTAGTGATATGTGTTTGTCGCCAGTTTGACTTCTATTTGCCTCCAGCAAACATCCTAATGTTATTGTGTCCTCAAAGATTTACAGCCTCAGTAGGCAGTTTATTGGTTTTACTGTTGTGTTTGTGATTCTGAAATATCTCATGTTTCAGTGACAATAACACAAACATTTATTATGAGGCAGATCGGTCCTTTTTCTCTTCTCCTGCACTTGCTTTCCTCCTCCATGCACGGTGAGTAGAATTAGCCATGGATGTGAATCTGACAGCAATAATCTCACGCTGTAAGGTGCAAGGCATGTGAAAGGCAAACTCTTGAGCATATCAAGGCCTTACAGCCAAAAGCATCTTCAAAATGTCAAAAGCTTATATGTTTAAAGGAGAGTTTCCCTGCACTTTTGTTCTCTAAGTTTTGTTTTTCATCCTATCTTTTCATCACAGTAAGGGTTGATTACGTTTTTGAATGACAGTACTGTGGTTTTATTATCGTCCCATTATGACATTTATTTACTGAAGCTGCTTGGATGGCATTTAGTGTTAATGTGTGACTTATAAACTGAAAATTCAAGCCTGACTCCACTTGGCAGAGACTGGAAAAAACCAGCATGATCGTTCTTGTGTAAATAAAACTCTTCAGCTACAGACGTTTCTCAGTCCAACTCTGCAATAAAATAAAACACACATGTGTATTCTGTGTGTATGAAAACAGTTAAAGCATAAGGACATCTCAAAACCAGCAGAAATTATTAACATCCCCTTCCCCTCTGTGTGATGATACTGCAGAGACAGACGAGGATCACTGCTTATGAACTGACGGGAGTCTGAGGATGCAAAACCACCATGAGCTTACTGGGAGAGATGAATCACTGCAGCAGCAAAAGCAGCATAAAGTATGGAAATAATAAAATTCAATCTCCTTGGCATTTATCATCCCTAACATGATCTGAGAAAGAGCCTGAGCTCACACTCTGCAACATGATAGTTTGAGTGTTATCTGCGGCACTATGGGAGCCCTGCAGGGTCATTTAAACCAGAACAACACGCCAATCAAGTAAAGGATGGTTTATAGTTCAGTGGAGCTGTCGGTGTTGTCAGAGCTGGACTCAAAGATGATGTTGTTTAGAGAGAGAGTGGCAGAAAACCAACTCTCATCATTGTAAACCTGCTTCAGCAGCCAAAACAGCCAATACAGAGACAATTCACACAGACACAAAAATAAACATGCACACTCACACATCACTCAGATTCTGGTACTAAACCCTGTACCGTATATTTAGCTTGGCACAGCTGAATTCTGACCTCCAGCATCGACTGAACGAGTATATAAAATGGCCAGAACAATAGAAATGCAGAAATCGAGCTGATTCACACTGAGAAACCACAGAGGAAGAGCTGGAGACCCACAGAGGGTGAGATCTTTGTTTATCTGGTGGGAGAAGTGAGGGTTTACGTCTGCACAACACCACAAAAACCACCTAGATGTTTGTATTTCAGGCATTTTGAACACAAGCGTTCACACATCAACACATAGGATGGAAAACCAGCAAAAAAAGATAATGCTGAGGTGGAGAACATCAGCCAAACTGAGAGAAACCAAATGCAAGAAGCACACAGAGACAGAGAAAGAAAGTTTCATTTTTTGGCATGAATCATCAAAAGTTATTTATCATTGTTTATTAAACCTCCCTTTTGGAGAGTCCTGAAGATAAAAAGTCTCTTTTCATAAAATTCCTGCCTTATGTTTGATATTACCGTAACCACAGCACAATAAGCACAGCAATTTATTTCACTGTTTTCATAGCAGCCTGGCTACCTCCACGGGAAGGTGTGAATTTTTTAGGTGGTTAGTATGTCACTTTCAATCAAAACTATGAGGAATATTACTTTTCCCCCAGATTATTACAATACGAGAGAGAAGTGCCAGGTGAAGAAATAAGAGAAGAAAACTAGGCACTATTGGAAAAAGTCCAGCCTGTCTTTGAATGGAGATTAGACTGTCAGTCTGGCCGGGTCTGGGTCAAATGTAGTTTAAAAACCTCAATTGTCCAATCATATCCTGGTAATTGTAACTACTTATGGCCATGTTGTCAAATCTGGGATTTCTCCACATACACTGTGGAGAGTGTTGCAGTGTTTTCTGTAGTAATAATGGCACACAAGACCTTAAGAGTTGAGCATGTGCTGCTTTAAATTGCCTCTTCAAAAAACAATAAAACGCACACAAAAGTGAAATGTTAGGAAGTAAAATAACTTGTTTAACTGCTCTTAAAGAAGATTTAACCATTAACATGTCCTTTGCAACCCTTGTTCTACTCAAAAAAGGAAAGGCTATACCATCAAACACATACAGTAAGTGTGAAGTGAAAGAAGTCTTGTAAAAAAACAGAGACCCCACTCACAGCTAGCAGCAGATACCCTATTTAGTGTTTCCACATTGTGTGGACTCAGGCCATGGATAGCTTCAGAGTTTATATGAATGTTGGCAGCTCTTTATTCGATCTGCAACCCCTCAAAAATGATAACAGATGATTGAACATTTGTCAAACACATCAATAAGTCCTCATCTTAGAAGAAGTTTTCTCTTCAGATTTACAGCCAAACAGAGTGGCTTCAGAACAATGATTTGGTACTATTTTTTTTTATCTTTTCTTACTTATAATGGTCATACTATAGACATATTTGCTTCTTTCAAATGTAGGCATAACTCAAACAAAACTGTGAGGACCCCACAGTTATTATTCATATTGTGGCCATTTTCCTCAGGGTGGTAAGATGAAGTGAAGTCCAGGCTGTGGATCACATATGATTGACAAGCAAAGAAGTTGATAGTGACCATCTGGGACAAAAACACCTCGTTTCATGTAAACACATTTAATATCCCATTAGCTACCACCAGAGCACAGTCAGTATTCACCCACTTCCAAGCAAACATTTCCAATAAATACTGAGTTCTGATTAGTAGGGTTATCAAATTGTCTAAAGGACTAGTAAGTCTAGTAGCCTTCAGATTGACACAATGTTCAACATTCAGTCAACCAATAATGTCTATTCCTACTGACTGGCTCAAACCCCCAAAACGATGGTTACTGATACTCAACAACAGAGTGAGCAGCATGACCGCACAAGTGAGTGGTTGTAACGGAGGGCCGCTAAACGCCCCGTCATTCCCCGACTGCCATCTTATAAGCCAAACCGGAGCATTTCCTGATCTGTCAGTAAATAGTGCAAGGCTGCGCACTTTTGGGAGTCATGTGACCGCCGGAGCACACCAGTAGAGTTCATCTGTGATATTTTGTCAGATTTACTGCATTTTCAAGGGCTGTACGGAGGGCTATTAGCGCCTTTTTGTCTTGGGTGAATTGTAACCTTGAACTGATTTTTTGTATTGCTGCTGTGTCGCTGAATCCTGAGTTATTGATGAACTCTCACCTTGTTGGCATTGTCTTTTTTTCTGCCTTGTACATTGTTGTAAATAGAATTTTGACAATTTTTTCACCTTTTTGTAAATATTTTTTGCACGGCACCTTGTGAGCCGGCTATAAATAAATTTCACCATCACTGTATTTTTTGACTGCACATGTCTTTTCCACTGTCTTTTGATTGTTTGAGAGAGAACCCGTGATATTGGTCAATCTGCAGAAAGGAGTCCAATCATCTTCACTTCTGCCTGTTGACCTGTAGTGAAAATCTTTGTAGTTATTAGCATTTTAAGGCAATGATCAATCATTGTTAATATTCCTTGTGTCTCACTTTGAGAGAAGCTTTTGATTTTCCATGGCTGACAAAAAGGTGAGCAACGAAAAAAGAGTGAGGGGTGTTGAAAACACAGAGCTGAGCGAAGGGACATCTACCAAACTGAAGGAAACAGGCACAAAGTCAGTGAAGCAGAACATTGGCAGTGTTCATGCTTAAGGGACTGGTTGAATGAAGATAAAAGTCAACAGACTTGAAGAGTTAAGCCTGGTTTATGCTTCTGTGTGGGACCTGTGCATATGCTGAAGCATACACGTGTAGCTCAATGCACACCCCTTTAAAAAATACCTATGTGTGCGGACAACGAGGGCCACAAGCCCTGCGTCTGGTCTACTTGGCAGTTTTGCTGCTGCCCCCTGTTGTCTTTCTCAGTGGCTGTATCATCTGCCTGCATCAACATCTCCTATCTTTTCTTCTATGCAATAAGTGTAGCATGATCAACTGCTGCACCTCCTAGATACCCTTCAACACTTATATATTACTCTTAGATTCAGTCATGTAATTCAAACATGCAACAAATAAACTCTGGCCTAAGAGAGGAAGTTAAACATCCTGAACTGAAACTCCAACTTTGCATGCCTAAAAAGATGAACGTTTGTAGTCACTGCTAACTTACCCCCGTCTGAACAACAAACTCCTTCCACTGAAAATGAGTTCAAAGTAATATTTCTGCACAGACACAGTGGACCAATCTGTTCATCCCCGCAGTTATTTGAAAAATCAATTAGATCCAGGTCTGAACCGCCTTGAGAGACAAAGAAAGGAAAATACAACCTCATTCAAGCCACCTCCTGAGGCACGCCACTTCTCTTTAAGAGCCAGAAATTAAACAGGACACAGAGCCTGTTACAGTCTGACCCTGACAGTGAACAGATCTGATGCTCTGGCCTCACACCAGACCTGCTACCCCATTTATTAAAGGATCTTCTGTAACAGCAGCAACCAAACCCAGTCCAGAATTAGCTCAGGGGGGAAGTTATCTAAACGTCAGAGAGATTGATTTACATTGATTTTCTCCTGATGTGGATGATGTATCATGAGCTTGAATCTTACAAGGCCTGCACTGAATCCAGTTATATTGTTTAACCTACAGTATGTCCCCTGATGCTCAAATATTAAATCAGAGAATATTTCCATAAATGAGACCCCTGGAGAGTGGTTGTAGAAGAGAGAAGAGCAGAAAAGGAACTAATTTCATCTGGATAAATCTTAAAACTGCCACGTTTACCTCTCTCACATCCTCTTTCCGGTATTTATCTTCAATACACATTCCTCAACACTGATGGTTGCTAAGTTAAACCAAATTTGGTGTTTGTAATCTCTAATAGCGGTCTGTGGTCCTCTTTAAGGACACAGTGAGGTAAAAATAACTAATCTCAACTTCTACTGTAAGACCACTTCTTCTTTTTAGGTTATAATTTGGGTTCAACTCCCTGAGGGGCATGTTTCCCTAAATGTTTTCCCTCTAGAGCCAAAAAGATCAACTTAAGTTTTACTGTCACAGAGCCAGAGTGATGGACAACAGCTCAGTGAGTAAAAGTTACAGCACAAGGTAAGGTCATCTTGACCTTTTGGCTGCTTCGTTGCAAATTAGGACACAGTTTCACAAACTGCGTCACCAGTGAGGATCACTGGTCTATCACAGGGTGGTTATTTTATATTTATTTCTCTCTGAAGTGAAGATACAGTTTCAGAAAGTTGGATACTCGGTGTAGAGCTCTGGAAACTGAACCAGTTACAGAGATAGATTTACAGCTACAGAAGTTTCAGGTTTTGTCCTCTCTGCTGAAATCATCATCTTCTTCTCAGTGTCCTGGAGCGAATTGCTGCTTTGGGACAGATAGTCAGCTTAAAACCTGAATGTAAAATGTTCAGTGCCCCCTTGTTGTCTCACTTAGGAGCTCAGGCTTGTGAGAGTGGAATAAACGCAGTGAAAAGAGTCTTACCTGAAGCAGGTGCCGTTCTTTCCCCCGGCTCTGACACAGGGATACTCCACAGTCAGGATCTTATTATCCGGACACTCCCCTCTGAGGAAAGACAGAAAGGAGTCACTGTCAACAGTTTTCCCAGCAGAGCTCTTCATTAAACACATACACGTAAAAAAAAAAAAAAGAAGAGATGAGGGCTGACAAACAGCAAAGGTCCAGATCTGAACATGATGGTTCCTTTAAGAGTGAGGCCACCGGAGCTCCATCATACACATGGTTTTAAGCAGATACACCTGGAGGCTGCACTTTGTTACAACTTGACACTCCTTTGACTTGTGGCCAAAGTTTCCCAATATTATGACAGCACATTACTTATTATTATACAACTCCAATACAGTAAATGATGCAACTGTGTACAATGTGGAAAATAAAGGTTTTGATGGTTTGTGAATCATTTAAAACCTGAGAATAGTGCCAAGTCACCGATGCTGCGGTTTTAGGAAAAAATACATTCACATTTTAGATGTTTGGAAGCTAAACTTTGCGGAAAAGTTTGGGCAGGTGCACCAAACACACACACAAAAAAAACAACCCCAAGACCATCTTTCAACTAATAACACTATTGATTTGCAACAGGTTAGCAACATGACTGAGTTTATTAAATGAAATACAAGAGAAGCTAAAGCCAGGAAGAGTCAAACCACTCTGTGAGAGACTAGAGTGAGCAAATAGTTGAACATTTACAACATGTCGCTGAGTCTAAAATTGCAGTGAATTTGTGGAAATTCATTATTTACATACATAAAAGATTCAGAAAATCAGTGAAATTCGCTGTACAAAAAAGAGATAAGTTCAATAACTAACACTGGATGGCCCTGATCTTTGGGCCCTCTAGTGGCAATGACCTACACAAACAGGCAGTAGTGAATCTTGTAAGCTAATGAGAAACAACCACTCACTTCCAGACTCCACAAACTGTTCCACTAGAGTACCATGTAGACCAGTTTCTCCTCATTAAAAGAGGTGGTGATGCAAACACATAGTTAAAATTTTCTTGTTCCAACTTTTTTTAAAACATGTTGTAGGAATCAAACCTAAAATGAGCTAACCTTTTTTTATAAAACAATCAGTTCTTCAGTTTCAACCTTCGATATTTTGTCTTTGCATAATATTCAATTTAATGTAGTGTTTAAAAATACATTAACTTTTCAATTCAGTTTGTGTTACATTTTTGACAGCAAACTCACTTTTCTTGGTATTTGTATTGGATGTATGTGGCTGTCCTATAGAGTGCTACATGGACATTGACATTTGCATGTTGACAAAAATCATAATCACTGTAAATTGGCTGATTTTGCTTTCTATGAGAACCCAAAGAGTCTGAAACTGGTGTTTTTTGAAGTCATCAAAATAACAAATTGTTGTTTGTTATCATGATGACTTCATCTCAGCATCTGCAGGTTAAATAAGACGGGCAATTTTGACATTTCATAATGAGGACTCATCTATGCAGGAAAAAAGGCAAATAATATCAAAACATACAACAGTTACACAATTTGATTTTCTGTCTCCTAGACCAAGAACGGATGCGGATTAATTAAGTAGGACATCATACAGGTTAGATAACATGCTCACTTCCTCTGCTGTAAACACCTATAACCTTCAGAACACCTTTTCTCATCGCCTAACAATATGACATATCATGCCTCATACTGATCCCAACAGACATGAGAAAATAAAAAACCCTTGCTAGTCTATTTAACTCTTTGTCTTAACAGCAGCAATGCCAGAAATATCTCTCAATATAACTGTCTAAGAAGCATTAATCATCTTTATTAAGGTTTAAGTGGAGGTCCATTAATCACAGATGTTTCTCCCCTTATTGTAATACAGCCTGATGAGTTTACACTAAACCTAGAAAGCATGACTCAGTAGATGTCACAGCTTGTAGAAGATGAAGAGGATGTAATCTACCTCACTGTAATAAAACAGTAACGCATGCTGCACCTCCAGTGGTCCTCCTCCTCCTCCTCCATACAGAACACTGGGTGCATGTGCTCCCCTCACATCCTCCAGTCACCTCCTGACCCACTGTCTCCGGGCACCCGAACAGCATCTGTCATGTTATGTCTGACCACAAGTAACATTTGGCTCATTGAACCGCGACTTATTCCAACCATTTGGAGTTTCCCTTTGCCTCCTGCGTTTCCCTGAAAATCACATTAGATTAGACGCACTGCAGCGGTTCATCCAGGGGTCTCCTCTTTGAAACCTGCTCCTCTCATAGCCTGTCGTTCAGAGCAGAGAGCAATAAAACACTCCAAACTCTGAACTGACATCTGGCAGTGAGTGCTTGACTTCTTGCTCTGGCTCTTATATCAAACGCTGAAACAAGTGCTATTAAAGTTCATAAGAGTTAACGAGAAGTTTACAGAACATTTACAAACACATCACGTTTTATTCAGCTTAAGTTTGAATTTTCTTATTACTTTACTGCTGGAGTCTCTTGTCAAGATAATAGAAGGAAAACTCTTCCAATCTGCTCAGATCTATAATCAAATTCATTATGGATGAGTTTGGCATTGCGTCACCAGCATGCTGCCTTTCATTCACTGTGGACGCGCGTGTTAAGGTTAACCTAATAAACTTACTTCGAAGTGTCCACTGCAAGTGTCGTCCTGATAGAGCTGGCACCGGATTCCCACAGGAAAACAACACACATTGCGCCAAATGGTAAAAGAGTCGCACCATAAAGTTGACCCATGTCCCCTCTGCGCTCCGGGACAGATGACCTATTCCAGTGAAAACGCCTTCACATCAGCAAAACGCCAATGTTTTCACATGTCAGTGACCCGCGCGGGCACTGATTTCAAAGTATCAGTAATCCTCGTCAAGTATCCCGCGGAGGTGACGCACATGGAGCCTGTGGGAGATGAAGTGCTGCGCTGTGCGTCCGGAGCCCAGTCCCTACTTTTACGCACTGAGGCAGAGACCCCTTGGAGAGCTACTGAAGGGTTTACAGCCCAGTGTGCTCGCACTAATCCCTCTGGATTTACATTCCTGCCTTTAAGGAAGAGACTGAAAACCAACGAGGATCCAGCCGCTCCGCTCATAACTGCTGATGACGTGTGGAGGCTGAACTATTTTACAATTTCCTCAATGGAAACCTTTATCCGCACATGAGCTACTCACCTATTATAAAACACACGAACGATAGATAGATAGATAGATAGATAGATAGATAGATAGATAGATAGATAGATAGATAGATAGATTTGTGAATATCAGCAGAAGTTCATCAAAAAGGGCAAAAATTAAATACTGCATCGAGGAAACAAAGAGTTAAGTAATTTCAAATGTGCTTCATAAGACTGATATGGCAAATTAAGCTGATCTGAATAGAAGCACTTGCACCAAATGCCAACTGCTGACATTTACCAAAATGTCAATTTGAATGGAGATTTCAAATGTGGCCTAATTATGGAGTTACTTTGCCACAGACACTGAAATCCCTTTTTATTGGCGTAATGAGGAACACACATTTTCTGAAGCCCTTAAAATGAGCCAGAGGTGGTTATTTCACCTAGCCTAACCAGATCAATTTATTTCATCTGGTGTGTCTGGGACAGTTCAATTCCTCCCATTTTTTTCCAGTGGATGTTATCAGTGTTTCAGATGAAATTGACTCTTGAAGTATTGTACAGATCTACAATCAGATTAATGCAAAGCAGCAGAAATGGCATCCAGAAGAGGGAAATATACCTTTTTTTAACAAATAAACGATGAATGCAGTGTTCATTCATGTTTTCAACTATCTGCAATGATAGATACAGTATATCACACCTTCTATTGGGGGAAGCTGCCATCTTGGTTGTTTATGAATTGTTTAAATTGTGCACTGACAGTATATCACCGTCTGAAGGATCTACCCAATTTTTGAGGACTTTTATTGGTCCATCTGTTAAGTTGGGAAATCATTTCGATTGAGAGCGGTTCCAGATGCATTAGCTAGCTCCTAATTTCTCCAGCCTGTGGGTCTGGAACAAGCCGTCAACCTCCAGTCGTAAAAAAAAGGGAAGCCACTGCAGAAGTGCTTAAACTGCAGTTCCTTAGGTGCCCACTTGAGATTGGCAACATAAACACCAGAAACCACACACACATTGACCAAAATGGTTTTGGTCTGATTAGCACAGGGTTCCCACAGCATCAACGCTACAGGGAGTGAATTATTTTGTTATTCAGGTTACAGGATTGGTGAATTAAAGGCATGGCTGCCTTGTACAATGTAGCTATTTGTGAGAAGTCCTTCTTCAGGTAGGTTGATCAAATTTTAGGTCCAGTCAAAATTACCATTGTGTGAAACACTGCTGTCATTCTAAACATTTCCCTTGGGTCAGATAAACTGACCAATTACATTCCTCTATTTGAGCTGACGACACAGGAGCATTGCTTCAGCATGTTTGTAAACAACCAAGATGGAAGCTTCTGCCGCTGGACAGCATAAGCGGTCCATTATCTGCTTGAACTGAAGCAGACAATGTATTTTTATTAAAACAAGACAGAACAACTGCACATACAGCATGTATTAATGGAAACCATACTATTCTTTCCTCTGCATGCTGCTGTCTGAGTACATTACTGTTATTATGCCCCTCATCACACTGCTGCTGCTAACGCCCCTGGAAAAAATCTAGTCAAATTCACCATGGTGAATTGATATGGGGACATCATGCTAGACCCACCTGCCACCTAAAATGAATACAAGCTGGCAGGTGGGTCTGGCAACACTAGGCCATATTTCACCCTCACAACAGGGAGTTTTCCTGTTTGTGCAGTGGGGGTGACAGGGTGAGGGAATCTCAGGAGGCTTGACAGGACCTGAAAGCATGGGCATGGAAGTGGGGGGAAAAGTGGACCTGACTACCCAGGGCCCGAATAGGTAGAGGGGCCCATGAAAATCCAGATTTTATTTTTTGCTCACACGCCTCATGCACTGGCATGGATAGGGGCCCACTGACATTGAAAGTGTACAGGGCCCAGAATTTGGTGCTACGCCCCTGTCTGAAAAGATGCTGTGGTAGTCACACATCTGAGATGGAGTGTGATGTAAAGTCTGACGCAGTAATGACAGTCTTTAAATTAGTTCTCCATGTTATCTGACATACTTTCAGTATTAACAAATGAGCGGAAAAGAACAAGCTGGCGAGCAGAAAAAAACTCACAGCAGCAGTGCAAAATAAATGGCACGGCTCAGTCACTCACTCACTGTGTTTTGTCTCAGTATTTGGACTCATGCTGGTTTCTGCTGAAGTATAACTATGTACCTAAAGGGGAAACATCCAGGTGAAAAATTCAGCCTCACAAACAGCTACCCACTGAATGTTTTGGAAATTTCCAGGAGTTTCCTGCATGCATGAAAACAGTCTAACTGATAACTGACAATCACAATGCAGACTGATCGTACATCCGTTTGATCCAAAGTCTTGGGTTATTAACAGTCGTGTCTGTAAAGGTGAGAAATGTCCAGGTGAGTCTCATATCTGCTGAATGATTTCAGTATGAGCAGCAGGGCAGCTATAATTGGTTCTGACTTGTTTGGATTTGAAGTGATGGCCTGATTATATAAAAGATTTATCATCACTTACTTCCACTTCCAGTAAGACAACAATGTACCAAATAAGATCCAAGGTGCATGTTTTTGTCCCAAACCACTTTTTGGTTTTATAAATAAGCAGCAGTTTGAAATCAGCTGATGGTCTGAAATTCGTTGCAGAGCTCTGACTCTTGCATGATGTGTTCTGGTTAGGACCAGCTGAATGAACTGCAGCTGTATGAGAGTTTTTATTGAGTCCAGAAGAAGGATCATACCAAGCTCTTAAAAGTAAAGACATGGATTTAACTTTCTTGATCTTCTTTCAACATTAAATCTGACAGCTGTTGAAGTTAATCCAAATCCATCTTAATTCAGCCAAAGAAAGTTAGGATCAGGTGCAACTTTTGGTCTTGACACACAATATGTCACAGAAGTGTTTGAGTTTCTTCTGCATAACAACGATAGGGTGAAAATGTAAAGTTTTTGTTGTGTTTTCAGACAAACCACTCTTAAACCCGCCACACACCCACAATGTAGTTCACTCCCTGCACTGGGACCGCGTCCAATCCTGGAAGTTTGGAACAGTTTGTCCCTTGGCGAAAGTTTGAAGGCTGCTGTCAAGGCAATAAGAAATACTTTATATCAGATCAGACAAACCTCAGTGTACAGTCCACTTGCTGGCAAAAACGCTGCTGGATCCACATCAGAACCTGGAAGCACTGAAGAATGGAACAGTCAAAGGCACACGCTCACAATGATAATATCTAAACCAATCACCAATCAATTAACAGAGGATTCCCTGACTTTTACTGTCTTGAGATCTGTCCTTTCCATGCAGGTAAATATGGATCCTGTCATTGAGTTTTACCAGTTTGATATTTCTGATTTTCTCATGATCAGGAATTTTTAAAATCATATACTTTAAAGTGATCAACCCAAAGCAAAACCTTGTCTTGAAACACTTCCCTGTACTCTGCATTGTCTTAAGTCAAAGAGAGGTGGACTTAAAAAAGTGAGCAGAAAAGGGAATGTGAAAAAACAGCCTTCATGTGGATGTGAGGCTATTGAAATGTCTAATAATTACACTCTCATTATTTGTGTTTTTTTAATCATTCCTGCAATCACAGCCTGATTACTCAAACAGCAACACTGGCTCAGAGGCCTTTAAAGTTGGCCTGCACAAACTACGATCTGATTAACACGCTATGCTGTTAACCGGATTCATATTTATGCATTATGATGAATGACAACATTAACGAGTAGAATGGAAAACATTAACGGAAACATGTGCGACAATTTCACTCTTTTAACTTTTATGTTGTGCTGAACATTTTTCAACTTCACTTTCATATTCATTATTTTTCTCTCGAATGCAAAACAAAAAATGTGATATGATCCATGTGTGTTTCATGTAGAATTACACCAGTCCAAATTAGAGCCTCACCCTCGTGGGTATCTCAAAGAAGTTGGGGTCAAATGCACTGTGAGGAGTTTTCCTGTTTGTTTGACCCTGAGGAACCCTCTGAATGATATCAGTAGTGGGTTTTCCTGAAGGAAAAAACTACATTTCCCAGGAGCACAAATGTGGTTCTGTCCAAAGGATACATTTGTTAGCAAATGAATGGAATACAGCTCTATTGTTCAATGCTACTTTCCTTTGTTTAAGACATCTTTTTTGCAGGATGCAGAGTGGTGAGGAAGTGTATTAATTTATATAAATGTAAAACGATAATTGTAATGTAGCAATGAAAAAGCTTTACAAACTCTAATTCATCAACCTTAGCTTACAAAGCTTAGAAAAGGTGACTAGACACACTGGCTTAGTGTTATCTGTCTCAGTCCTGGTGTCAAAACATGGGGCCTAGGGTGCCAATTAATGTCTGAATAAGTATGTTTGCATGCACTAAAAAAAAAAAAAAAAAAAAAATACTGTTTATTGCTATGGTCTGATTTGAATCCCACTACATTTGAACTTCCTATAGTCGGACTTATATAACTGGATGAGGTGGTTAGAGATTGATTTTCTCTTGCATGTATCAGACAGAAAATAACCTAAGTATATTTACTGTATTTTGAAAGGCTTCAAATCAACTTCCAGTCCTTGGTGGAGGTGGGTCCTCACAGTGGAGGTCTGCAAGGAAGGGTCCTGACAGTGAACGTCTGCAGCCAGACTATCTCCATTTTGGGAGGCTTTCCAAAACCTTCATTTTCAGTGACCTTAAACTCTGGGCTAGATCAGTCGTGTTTCTTCTTTTATTAAGGAACTACCTGTGGAGACTCCTGGTGAGTTGCATGCACCTGAGACCAATTAGCCTGGATCTACTTAGGCCTCATGATCAGCTCAGTCTCTCTTCACCTGGCAGCAAAAATCCCCTATTGGTTTTTTTAGGGTCTCCATTTACTTAATGTTGGACTTTCAATAAAGATAAAGCACAATAAAGAAATCCTTAATGTTGTGTCCACTATTTTGTTCGGAGCCAGGGTCA